CAGTCATCATGCATGACCTGAGTGAATTGTATCCAGAGTTGCCAAGAGCCACTCAAACAAAGGAAATGGATGGGCATCAGCTTCGGCCAAGGAGATCTTGCACCTCCTTTTTGATTCCAGTATTGGACACTAGTGCAATGATTGTGATACCTCAGGTTCAAATCATCAGCTCTCATCATCATTCCAAAGCTGATCATGTGCATCCATCAAGGCTTCAAAAATGATTCTACAGGTCCATCACAACTACATTGATCAATATGACTCGACAGCTTCAGCCATGCAGAAATGCTCATATCACAGATATCATGTTTTACTTAAATTTAAATTTAGTTTATCAAGGAGATCTGGCACCTCCTTAAAGAGTCGCTTGCGCCCATAATCTCCAATCATTTTTCCAGGGAAGCTCAATTGACTCAATCTACATTTGAATCCTCATCCTCTTTTGATTTTTCGGCTTGCTCTCCAGCATCAATAGGTGATGTAGGAGAATATGGGGTTACAGCAGGACCTGATCAGGAGGCATGATGAACATATTGCACAGTGCATGGTTGACATGAGATGCTTTCAAATCCACAGTCACAGAAAACTCCAGCCTGTGTAGATCATTCCTTCATCCAGGAAATGTTCTCAAGTAGCTTGTAGAAGGCGAGGTGGCAGGCGCTGGGGTACTTGGAGGGGGCATTGGAAGGGGCATTGGAGAAGCACCTGGAGGGTCATGAGAACTTGGAGGGGCACCTGGAATAGCTGGAGGAGGTGTATTTGGAGGTGGTAAAGGTTGCGATTGGGCATTGACATGAGGTGTCAATGCCTGGATCACCTGGTTTTGTAGCCTGATCAGCTCCAAAACACGGTCAATCTCCTCATCTCCAGGCCTCCTGCGAGAGGAACTTGATTGTCCAGCTCCCATAGCAACAGCAAGAAAAAATACCGAGCACTGAAACAGGAGCTAGAAAGCCAAAGCAGCTTCAGTTGCAAAATCCATTCTCAACACTGCAATTGCCATGCCAAACAATTTCAACATTCCAAATTCCAGACAAAACTTCTCAAATCCAGAATTCCAACCCAACATTAAACATTAAAGCCACATCCTATGAAAGTCTATAAGCCATTTTTGAAATCCACCCAGGCAGTAAACTCTCAAGTTCCAAATGTCAGGAGATCTTGCACCTCCTTAAGACAGAAAAGTGGAAAGACTATTTCCTATTTTCCTATTGAGAACTCTCAGGAGATTTTACACCTCCTTGAAACATGCAGCAGAAATCAGCAGCCATTTTTTTTGCAATTTCATCCAATCTAATCCACATCCTGTCCAACCTTCCACTTTCGAATTTCCTCATTCAAAAATTCAATCACAGATTGTTCAGTAGCACCATTGTGCAAATCAGCAATGCATTTCTGGGCCAAATCCAAGCCAACTTCTCTTGAAATTTTGTTCAAAGTGAAAGATTTGATTTGTTTCTTGTCTCCAAAATTTCGTCTGACACCTAAAGCACCATACTTTCGACTGCCTTTGGCAGGATAATCTTCCAAGCGATATTCAGGAGATGCCAAGTCAACAGCAGCAGGTTCAGGATCAGCCACTGCAACAGCCGGCCGAGCTTCAACATCCTCTTCTTCAGAAGTGCCAAGTACTGCTTCACATGCAGCACGCTTTTTCAAGATTGCAGCAGGCCTTTTCAAGACTGCAGCAGGCCTTTTCAAGACTGCAGCAGGCCTTTTCAAGACTGCAGCAGGCCTTTTCAAGACTACAGCAGGCCTTTTCCCACCTGCAGATTGCCTATAGATCTTCAAAGATTCATTGGAAATTTCAGATTCAAATTTGTTTTCACCAGAAGCAGCAATGGCAAAGCGCTTTGGTCCTTCACTCATAGTAGCTTTCTCCACCTTGCTATCCACAAAGCGACATACCACCATGGCAGTAGAATCGATCCAGGTTCCAGCACTCACAGGCTTCTTAGGACTCGCTTGGCTCTCTTCACTCGACACTTCTATCAATTGGTGCTCTTGGCTATCCAATGTTTCTGAGCTGTGGCCTGGAGGAAATTTTTGCAAAAGTGGTTCGTTCACAGGCAACTGTGGGATGGAGCTCGCATTGGAACTTTGTCTCATGAGCCTTCGCTTGGCAATGGCTTTCTGAACAAACTTGCCTTTCTGCCGGTTCCCATGGAATTCTGAGCACTCCAGATAGATCTTCACAAGCTTACCCATCCAAGGCTCATATTTCTTACTTGAAATTGACCATTTTGCTTTTGTTCTGATGTGTTGCACACATTCGACAATTGCAGAAGACCACTTCTTCGCTTCGTCACTCAAAGTGCGAGGGTTGACTTTCAAATTGTTTTCTGGAACATCAAGCCCAGAAATTTTCGATAATGCTTGCAAACTTGATCAATTTCAACATCCAAGTACTCCTTGGGATCCAAACAAGCCACCTCTGCTTTCAAACATGTGCAAAGGTCTTGAACAGAAGCAGTGTTCTTAGCTCTATTCATCTTGAGAAATCAACTGCAGATGCGATGCAGAAACAGTACATGCAGGAAATCAAAACACCAAAAGGAGATCTTGCATCTCCTTGAAGCAACCTCCAAAGGTTGGTCTTGATGCAATGATGATGTCAAAGATGTATCTAAAAACAGTGAAAAAAATCCTCCTTAAAAAAAGATTAAGGAGGAATTTTCAAAAAAAAACACCTTAATTAAGGAGAATTCCTCCTTAATTAAGGTGGAATTCCTTAATTAAGGAAAAAATCCTCCTTAATTAAGGGAATTCCTCCTTAATTAAGGTGGAATTCCTTTAAAAAAAATTCCTTAAATTAAATAAGGAGGAATGGAAGTTCTGGGTTGCTCCAGGGCAAGTCAAATCGCAATTTTACCTCAGTTTTTGCCGATCGACCCTCATTTCGTGCGAAAGGGTTGCCCCGGGACAAGTAAAATCGCAATTTTACCTCAGTTTTTGCCGATCGACCCTCGTTTCGTGCGAAAGGGTTGACGTTTCGTGACTCGCCGCCGGCACCACCCTCGGCCTTAAGAGAGAAAGATAAAAAGAAGGCGTGAGAGAGAAGGTGAGCAGGTGTGAAGATAAGAAGATGTGAAGATGAGCAGATGTGAAGATGAGCAGATGTGAAGATGAGCAGATGTGAAGATGAGAAGATGTGAAGATGGGAAGGTGTGAAGATGAGCAGATGTGAAGATGAGCAGATGTGAAGATGAGCAGATGTGAAGATGAGCAGATGTGAAGATGAGAAGATGTGAAGATGAAGATGAGAGATGTGAAGATGAGCAGATGTGAAGATGAGCAGAAGTGAAGATGAGCAGATGTGAAGATGAGCAGATGTGAAGATGAGCAGATGTGAAGATGAGCAGATGTGAAGATGAGAAGATGTGAAGATGGGAAGGTGTGAAGATGAGCAGATGTGAAGATGGGAAGGTGTGAAGATGAGAGGATGTGAAGATGAGCGGATGTGAAGATGAGAGGATGTGAAGATGAGAGGATGTAAAGATGAAAAGATGTGAAGATGAGAGGATGTGAAGATGAGAGGATGTGAAGATGAGAGGATGTAAAGATGAAAAGATGTGAAGATGAGAGGATGTGAAGATGAGAGGATGTAAAGATGAGATGTGAAGATGAGAGGATGTGAAGATGAGATGTGAAGATGAGAGGATGTGAAGATGAGATGTGAAGATGAGAAGATGTTTGACAGACCCCCACTATTGGAAGAACCCTGCGCACAGACGCTCTCGGGAAAAAGCTTTTTTCGTATTTTTTAGAGGAAAGTACTGGTAGTCTTCCAACCCTCCTCTTTGGCAGGGTCTATGTCAGATCAATTCTGTTGGCTGAGGGATGGTCAACGCGGTGAGCCTCACTCAAGGTTGCCATGGCCAGGTGAAACGCCCCCCAATGGGATGGCAGCCTTAACCTTCGCGGAGCAGGCTTTGAAGAAGGCTGGCTGGCAGCTGGCATAGCTGGATCCGTTTGCAGCGGTTCAATGCTTGGAGATACTATACCAATGGGAATTTAAGGATCCTAAAATGGAGGTACCTACCATGTATAAGGCCTATATAAGGATATATAAGGCCTATGTAAGTGAATATCCCCAGAAAATATGGCCTTATATGGTACAGTACCTCTATTTTAGGATCCTGAAATTCCCATTGACTATAGCAATGGGGTTGTAGATTTTCTAGGTCTCAAGATTCTATGATGTATCAAAAGTTGCTAAGGGTTGCTGAAGGGTTTCCGGTCAGGTGCTTGGCTTCCAAACATCACGACATGTTATGACATTCAGACGCCACCACGCTACAGATATCCCCACACATTGCACAGCATGCAAATGTCAGATCATGGGGCATCATGGACCCCAAGTTGAGCAGACAACTGAATAGAAATGCAGAAAAAATCAGAAAGCACTAGCACAAGATTTCTGTTTTCCCCTTCACATTCTCTCAAATACTTTGGTGTAAGCAGTACGCACTGGCAGCAACGCTGGCCTCTTGTTGGCGTCATCGTTGCCATGATCCAAGACGCTGTTGATGCTACGGTACTTTGATTGTGTTGGAGTTGGAAGCTGCTTGGTCAATCTATGGCATATTACATGAAGTAGGACTTACATGCATAGCTTGCATAGACCTTACATACACCTTACAGACCGTACATAACCTGACACGTAGCTTCCTTGCAGAATACATGGCCAAGAGACCTGGGAGATGATGTTTTTGTTCCCAGGCGCATTTGCCCGGCCTCCCCTATTGCATTGTGTTGCATTCGATTTGTGTAATTTAAAATCATTTGCCAATTGTCAACCCTATTTGAGAAAAAGGGGTATAATATTCCTACGAAATCATATTGAAATATATGGGGATTGTCCATCACCAGGTTTGATTGCTGGATTGTATTGAGCCTCCTTATTAAAGGGAAGGTGTTTTCGCACTTTTGAATCATTGCATTGGCTGCAGATGGCTGCAGGTTGCTTTCAGTCGAGTGTTTTCAGCCCAGGTTACCCAATGAAGACCACAGCTGCCGGCGGCAAATCCCGGTCGACCGATTGCAAATTATATAATTGAATGGACCGTGGCAATTGGATGAAACAGACCTGGCCAAAAGGAGTGAAGCAGGGCATTTTCAGACCAGAAGTGACGAAGCCTTCTGATACGATTGCAGATGTTATGATACCAAGACGTACACAGAGCTTTGGAATGGGGAAGCCGTGCTCAAACAACCTGAATCATTTGCATCATTCCGCATTTTGAGGCTTCCATGGCTGGTAATGGGTTGCCTGCTGGCGGCTTTGGCATGCTCTCTGTGGATGCTCAGGTTGGTCCGGCATAAAAAGGATTAAAAAGGCATAAGAAATTGAAAGCGAGAGAAGACCAACAGCAAGCATGAGTTTTCAAAACCAGGTCAACTGCAAGATGCCCGAAATAGGTCTACACAAGAGGAGGAAGCAGAGGGAGAGCAAATATAATATAAACAATTAAAGCAGCACCACAGCACCGGCTGAACCCTACTGCATCAAGCAAGATAAGGCTTCAGGAAGCAAGAAACCAATCTTCTACTTGTAGAGAGAGCCAGGGAAGCGACGGTGCTTGGGGAGGAACAACAGTAGTGATCCCTACGTGTGCAATCTCTCACATTTGACAACTGGCTTCACAACGCTTTCAATTGTAGATGTGTCGGTCCGGGCTGGCCAGTGACTTGATGCTGTTTGAGTTGCCAGCAGAGCATAGCAACCAGAGCACCAAAGCCACACCACTGCAGAGAGTCTTGCTGAAGCTAGTCAGTGCCACCACACTGACCTCAGAGTTTCAATCTGATAACTGGAAGCCGATCTCGCGAGGAAGCACCTGCCAGATGCTGGGACGGAGACACTCGAACAGGATGCAGGGGAGCATTGGAGAAGCTGTTGCATATGTGACTTGTTTGTTTGTTGGCACTACATGGCTTCCTCTTTGGGGGCGTGCTTTTGCACACATCATAGCCATCGCGATTCATCTTCGTCAGCCACATGCTCTTCCTTATGCCAAAACCCAATCGCTGTTGCCCATCGAATCATCATCATCATCATCCTCCTCCTCCTCCATCATCATCATCATCATCAGCAAGCATCATCAGCATCAGCATCTTCTCTATTTTCTTCTTCTTCGTCTTCTTCTTCTCTTTATTCTTCATTTCTCATGGGCCGATTCTTGCAAGACCCAGCCCAAAAGGAATGCTTTCTTTGCGCCATCCTTTTCGTCAGCTGTCAAAACTAGATAGATCTATTTCTACCTATATCCACATATCCACCTATATCCACCTATATCCACCTATATCTACCTATATCTACCTATATCTACCTATATCTACCTATATCTACCTATATCTACCTATATCTACCTATATCTACCTATATCTGCCTATATCTACCTATATCTACCTATATCTACCTGTATCTACCTATATCTACTTATCTATCCTATCCCTATCCTATCCATTATCCTATCCCTATCCCTATCCCTATCCTATATTATCCTATCCCTATCCTATCCATTATCCTATCCCTCTCCTATCCCTATCCTATCCCTATCCTATCCTTATCCTATCCCTATCCTATCCCTATCCTATCCCTATCCTATCCCTATCCTATCCCTATCCTATCCCTATCCTATCCATTATCCTATCCCTCTCCTATCCCTATCCTATCCCTATCCTATCCCTATCCTATCCCTATCCCATCCCTATCCCATCCCTATCCTATCCATCCATCCATCCATCCATTTATCTATACAATACAAGAAAATCAAGCAATTAGTAGGAGGTGGGAACTGAAGATGGCAGCCGCGAACTTTGAGCTGGCAGGAGCCGAAAGGCCAAGAGGACCATCTTGCCCAACAGGTGCGACAAAGGGGGCCAGGTGTGGGATTAAGAATGGACACAATGGATAGTCGATATGAATGATGTAATTTGCTTGGTTGAGACTTGCAGAACTCTTTGTTTCGGTAAGATTTTCTTAACACATGTTAGAATTCTCCTCTTTCTGTAGACGTTTTCCTAATGTTATCTTCAACTATCTCCAGTTTCTCTCATTTGATCATTTGAATAAGCCCAGCCAGTTCTGTGCTTGTGGCTCCCCTTTATTCAAGATCCTTTGGCTGACCGGACGCTTCGGAGATTCATGATTTTGCTCAGGATCAAAGTCAAAAGCTCCACAGCTGCACTGGAATGATTGGCATCAGTGGAATGGTTTTGGATGGTTTTGGAACCGTGTAATGTGCGGAAACAAGAGGGCAGGTGAAGCTTTGGAATGTGGAAGATCTCTTGGTTCATGGAACTTACTGATACTATTTGCTTCTCTGATTCTCTGTGTTGCCATCACCCAAGTGGCTGAGCCACAGCGTACCAATCCCACACCAGACATCCACACGTCCATGCGAGGGTGCTATGGCGAGCTCAGGTCCACCGAGCCCACCTGCGAGCCAGAAGTCATCTCTGACTCTTGGACTTCTGTTGGTTTACAGTAATCACTGAGTGTACTATTTCAGTGCCAATTATATAGATACAATACAATATTAAACTATATTAAATTAAATTAAAATATGTTATGTTATATGTTATTATATTATATGATGTTATATTAAATTAAATTATATTATGTTAAAATACATATTTTGTATCATATTATATTATATTATTGGAAATTATATTATATTATATCATAGCAAATTATATTGTAATATATTATATGAGTTTATATTATGTTATTTTATGTTGTGTTATGTCATGTTATATTATATTATAGTATATGTTTATTATACCATAACATATTTTATTATATTACATTATATTATATTACATTATATTATATTATATTATATTACAGTATATTATATTACAGTATATTATATTACATTATATTATTTTAAATTATATTATATTATATCATAACACATTATATTGTAATATATTATATGAGTTTATATTATGTTATTTTATGTTGTGTTATGTCATGTTATATTATATTTTAATATATTTTTATTATACCATAACAAATTATATTATTACATTATATTATTACATTATATTATTACATTATATTATATTATATTATATTATATTACAGTATATTATATTACAGTATATTATATTATATTACAGTATATTATATTATATTATATTATATTATATTATGGCATATTATATTATATTAAATTAAATTATATTATATTATATTTTATTACATTATATGATGTTATATTAAATTAAATCATATTTTTTTTAAATTATATTAAATTATATTTTTTTTTTATATCATATTATATCATTTTAAACTAAATTATATTATATCATAACAAATTATATTGTAATATATTATATGAGATTATATTATGTTATTTATGTTGTGTTATGTCATGTTATACTATATTATATTATATTGTATTGTATTGTATTGATGGTATTGGATTCCGGGAACATTTCAGACACATGACATTGAACTCGTCCAAGCTTGTGCTAGGGCACCCTGGTCATGTTTAATTCCAAAGCTGCAAAACATTCCGCTGGACTTTGCTTGCCAAAATCCTTTCCACAGTCGGGCTGCAGAAGCTGGTGTTCGCCATATGACCAGACGCAAAGACCTAGGGTGGGATGGACTGGAGGCGAAACTCTTTTTTTTGAAGGGTTTTAACAATGTATAACAATGTTAAATATGGCACAGGTGGAATCTGTCTTTGCCACTGCAGGATTGTACTGCAGAGAGCCAGCCAGAGCCACCGGTGACCGCGCCTGCACCCGGCGAGCGGTCTCGAATGCCAAATTTTCACGGCCTCGAGTGCCTTGGACCCACACACCTTCTGGTGGTTTGTGGCTGGAGGGGTGAAGAAACCTTGGCAAAATAATTCGGTTTCTTTGAGAATTGAATTACCTTTCACTCCATTGATTAATTAATCATGAATTTCCCATTAAAAGTGCATTTGCATGGTATACCGGTATACCGTATATCCCGTGTATCTATTTTCAGACACACTGTGACATGCAAGGTACCAGCTTTTTCTGCCAACAACTTGGCGAGGAGAATCTGGTCAGAATCTTCTTGGCAAATGGCGCTAGAGTTAGCGCGGGTACTTCTCGGAGGTTTGAGGAATGGGGAGGAGGTTCTACTTCAATGAGACGTGGTAAACCTGGTAAACCCAAGAGTAAATTCAGTAATTAATCCCTTCCCCCAAAAAAAAACACACCCTCGAAACCATGCTTTAGTAGGGGATTTACAAGGATTTACACATCGTTTGGGACCATGTAGTAGGGGTCTTTAATATTAGGATGGGATTGGTAAACCCAGGGGTGTGGCTTAGGACTTTCCCCGTGGTGGTTTTCCTGCACGGAGCCGGAGATGGCAAATTCAGTGTGGTGATGCCCAGGGGAGGGTAGAGATGATGATGGGAATGATGGCCATCTAATAGTAATCAATGGCGTATTATAATAATAGTGTAGTAGTAGTGTAATAATAGTGTAATAATAGTGTAATTAGTAGTGTAGTAATAATGTAATAATAGTATATATCAATGGCAATCTAATAATTAATATAGTAATCTAATAGCGTAATTATATATACACTACACATATACGTATGCACACACAAAGATGATAATGATTGATTGGATTGGAGTGGATTGGATTTGATTGGGTTGATTGATGATTGATTGATGACTGATTGATGATTGATTGATGATTGACGTTGGATGATCGATGATGATCAATAGATACTTAAAAAGTAGTGATGCCATTGGAATATATATATATATATATTTATAATATAATATATATAATAATATAATATAATATAAAATAAAATAATATAATATAATATAATATAATATATATATATATAAGTGTGTGTGCAGTATTATATAATACATGGGAATGATCAACGATCAACTAGCTCTTGCGAACTTTTCTCTGCCATCGCCATGATCCGCGAGGTCATGAATTCTCAAAGCTTACCACGTCTGCTGACGAGGCCATTTCAAATTTCGGGCCCGACTGGCTGTGTGGATGGCCGCAGACCACCTGGAGGTTGAAGAAAATTGAGATTTACCCTTTGGTAATTTAATATAGCAATTTATAGTGGATTTACCTATTGCAAATGGTGATTTTCCATAGTTATGCTAGTTTACCAGAGGGTATAATAGAATTATGGCAGTGCAGTTGCTGATTATACACATTTTTGGTAATTGGACTCTTCTAGGCATGATCGCTGGCTGAATGAACATTTTTTTGTTGCATGGTTTGCCCCACGGCATTACCTCTCAACCCATATTGTAACACAATGTTCCCTGATGGCACTTTCATTTTCAAAGCTTGGGAAGTCTTTCCAGCAATCACATGCCTGAAAAAGGGTGGCAAAGTTTTTTCCCACCATCAACCCACCATCAGTTCCATCCCATCAGGAAAACTTGGATACCCGCTGGAAAGTCAGTAGGTGGGTGTTGGTGTCATCGAAAAGGTGGTCTTGTTCTCTGGCCATGAGGAATCAATCGACCTGCTTTGACCCACGGCATTGCTGGTGCCTTCCTTCTGAATACGAAAGGACTGGGATAGAGAATGGGTTGGACGAGTCTAATTAGGGTACTGTAGATGTTATATATATATACACACTATATTTTATTATATTATATATTTATTATTTATATTTTATCATATCATATCATATTATATTTTACTATATTATACTATTTTATATTACATGTTCTTATATTATATATTAAATCATATTACATATTAGTATATTCTTATTCTTATTCTTATTATATATATATATGGAAACATGTTATTTATTATTGTTATTATTATCATCATATATATATGTATATTATGGTACTCTTAGAACATTTGGAACAGGCAGACCCATTTGCATCAACAACATGGATGAAAAGACATCCACAAGGTGCAATCTCACTATGGATCAAATCCAGAAGAAGCTGCAGGGCAACTGCCAAGAAGGAAGCCCCGGAGACGTCACCAGACGCCTTCTTGGACGAGGAGGACCGAGCGCGCCGCGTGCTTGCGATGAGCGTCCATTGGCCAACCGGTTTTCCGTTCAGGAAGATTTGCGGAGCCCGATGGCCGCCTGTGATTTTGCAGATCGTTTTGAAGCAATCACAGCACCTCGGGCAGGGACTATGAACGCAGTGTGTATGGACTGAAATGACAAGTGACCATGGTTAACATGTGTTGTATAATGTCATTTGGTATATTACTGTATATGCCACACAGACACGCACGCACACACACACATATATATATATATGTATAGAGATATGGAATAGTCCAATAATGTCCTATATATATATTCCACTGAAATCCAATGAATTTTCAGTGATTTTGTGAATAATTATGCGGTCATGACCTGAATCCATATGCCATTTTTTATGGCATAATATGACCATGGCATCATGGTGGGAGCACCGAGGTGATGCCACAAGGCTGGAGCGTTGGAGATCCCGTCGGCTGGACGGGAGAGCGCTTATCCAAGGCGATCTGGGATTGAATCTCATGGCGGGTCACAGATGTCTAGAGTTAGTGTTAAGGAAGAAATGATGAAATATGATGGAATTCGATAATTATAGTATATTATAGTAATCTTCTGGTAGCAACATCTATATTCAACAAAACTACAGTTGTGTCATCTGGAATACTGTAGTTTTTTGAATATAGATGTTGCTACCAGAAAAAAATCGTCAAGTGCCGCAAGTTCTTCGCTCCAGGTGCACCTTTTGACGAAACACGTGCTTGAGAAGTACCACGGAGACCCCGTGCCCCAGATTTGGAAGGGGAAAGTCGTTTTCATCATGAAATTACCATGAAATAACCATGAAATAACCATGAAATAACCATGAAAAAATGGGGAACATATTGGGACAATGATATAACATGATTTTCAAGAAGACAGCATCAAGGCAAAATATGGGACTCGGGTGCCTCATCCACCGTCCAAATTCTGCTGCCCTGCTCTCCAAAAAAAATCCAACCAGTGGGACATGATGTTTTACATATTGTACATGGTCCACTTATATATTATGATACGTATTGACACGTATGATTATATTATAACGAAATTAACTAATACAATATTCCCAACAGCAGTGCTTGTTGGGTTTCAATCTGTGGGTCTGGGGCTGGTGCATCACGGATGCAAGACACCCAAAACCAGAACGGAACAACAGAACCCTGGAAGATCCTGGAAGAACCCTTTCCACTGTTGGGTCGCAAAATTGGTTGAATATGTTATGCACAGGCGTGTTAATATACTATATTTTAATAATTATTATGGACTCATGCAGTGTAATATAGATGTTTATGTAACTATAAATATAAATGTATATATGATTAAGTATATTTCATGATTTTATGTATAATTATATATATATGTATATATATATATTATGTATATGTGCTTATGTGTTTTCAATATATATATATATATGTATGTATGTATGTATGTTTGTATACATATGCGCTATATACAGTATATGCGTCTATTGCACTGCTTTGGCGCCGCTTCCAGGCGCGTGTTTCACTGACGGGTCAATCAGCTGGTGGTGCTGGAGCCTGGCGATTTGCAGCGGAGTATGGGGAACTGTGGTCTTCGGTCTGGGCCTTAGGGGTTTCCATGGTCATGGGGGATCCCCCAGTAGCTGGATGCTTTGTAATGGAAAATCATATCTAAGGATGATTTAGGGGTACCCCCATTTTTTGGAAATCTCGATATATATATATATATATGTATAATTATATAGTAATCAATATGAGATCACACCACACCGTTACTCTCCTGTACACTTGCATTTGCAATAGGTTCATATGTAAGTGTCACATTTGTTGTTGCTCTTTTAAAGTGGCATGCATGAACAAGTTCGCAGCAGTTGGTGCAATGATGGGATTTTGTTTTGCAGATTCTGACTTTGGGGGCCCCTTAGCTTCAATTGCGCAGCTACGCATATGTTTCAAGAGTCTGTCAGTGGCCCGACATTGTCACAGTGGGCTAACAAATTATACCTGATGTTCAGAACAGGTCTTCCAATGATTCCCCCGATTCCAACCGGTTTCTTGTCATATCTTGTCATCGCGGGTATGGATCAGTGGCGCGTGGCACGTTGGTTCCCATAGTCTCAGGTCTCCGTGGTTTGTGCTCCGGCTCCACCCCAGCTGGCTGAGAGCCTGGAGAGGGTCTTAGAACTGGTGGGGTTGGACGGTTGGACCATGTTAAGCCCCAAATTGATCTTGGAGTCAAGGGCCCAAGATGGCCCGGCGAGTCGAGACTTTCAGCGATTTTGCAGGAGAATCTTCAGATCTGGGTTGTTGGTTGGACAGGCGAGTTGGGGCATCTTTTTAGAATCCGACGTTCTTTCGGATGACGCAACTAGACATTCAATTGTACATTGTAAATCATTGTAATGCGCTGAATGATGGGTGCGGGTGACTTCCTATGAGGGCCCTATGACTGCTTCCCTAGAGGCGATGGAGAGATGGGCAATGATGATCTCGTGGAGGCTGGATGGGTGAAAGGCTGACCGTGATGCCTTGCATTTGCGGCATTGTTTCAACAGAGGCTCTTAAGAGACGAACATCTGGATCCGTGCGGTACACACGCTACACGAATCTTGGCAAAAAATAAAACCATGTCTCGAGGTATCAGTTTGCATCCTGAGTTAATATGTTTTTTTTGTTGCTTTGTAGGCACTTATACATTACCTGTGCCAGATGCGCAGAGAAAGAGAGAGAGAGGGAGAGAGACAGACAGAGACATAAAGACCTGGACCTTCCAAATCCTAGGAAATTCACGGAATTCTGGGAAGCGACATCCTTTTTGTTGAGCAAAACGATGTCAAATTGATCAAAACTCTTTACTTGACTGAATTTCCTTGAAGTTCAATGACTTGTGGATGTCGCAGGCTACAAGGTTCTGCATGACTTGTGGATTGATTTTCAGTTTTTGACCTTCAAAAATGCCAAGAATTACCCGCAAAACTCCTGCAACATCCTGCAACAAGTGTCAAACTCCCGCAAAAAAGTCAAACTCCTGCAAATCCCAAAAAGTCATGCAACCGAATTTTCTGGAACACAACTGATCGAATCATTCACTGCAAAACAAATGCAAGGTCACTGAGAAATTCGTTGAAACTCCTGAAATTCTGAACTATACTAGAAAGCAAGAGATGCTAGACATTTCCCGGAAACAAATGCTCCAGGGACATTAGAATCAGAAGCGCCTGACTCACAAATCACTAGTAATGGACCCAACATGTTTGTTTCCGGTAAAATGTCACCGATTATCACAACATGTGGGGCTAATGGTTAATTCGACAGGTAAGCAGTGGAACCTTCTGCCAAATTAAGTAGAGCATTTTTCCTCATGCAATCCCTTCCCCCTAATATTGGACAAAGTTCCAGACGTTCCAGAAACCACGGTTTAGTAGTAGGGGATGATTTATCAGATAGATAGATAGATAGATAGATAGATAGATAGATATATATACATATTATATAATATAATGTATATAAGTATATATATATATAATGTATATATATATAAGTATATATATAATGTGTATATATATATATATTATATTTAATGTAATATATTCATAGTTCTAGCATAATCACTAATATTTGGGACATTTCGGGACCATGGGATGGGTTTTTATACGGGAGCGTTAACTTAGGAAAGCGCCGCCACCCCCAGATCCACAGTATCGCTATATGTTGGGCCATGGAAGTTGCTTGGCTTCAATGAACATGATGCATATGATGCATCGATGAGCTCATATGATAATACTGTGGATGGAAGAAATCCGAAAACCAGGCAGGGTAACTATTGGGAACTATAAAACATTGTAAATAATGGGATTACAATGGGATAAACCATCTATTAACTGGTGCAGGATTTCCTCCATCCACAGTATCAATATCATGTAATCGTCATATTAATGCTTGCGTATGCATATATTTCTGGACTCTATAGATATGTATAGAATTGTATAGATGTATAGAGATTATGTACATGGCCATGGCTCATATGGTGTAGGCCCCAATCCATAGCAAGTACCCATGATCCATTACATCTCTGAGGGATATGATCCATACCCGTGATCCATGCCCAAAAATGACAAGTTGTACTAACCAAACCAGTTTTCTACGTAACTCACTGTCCCATACCTCCGGATCACAAAGGAGAACCATTCAGAAACCCGTTTTTTGAGATACCCGTTTCTTGTGTGCGGTATGATGCATTGATGAGATTTGGCCATGAGATCCTTGTTTTGTTGTTCGATTGTTTTCTTGAGGCCTGACAGCAGGCGTTTGACCGAAATCGCTATGCCTGGAACCATAATGGATATACGCCAATATTTGTAATTGTATCCATTTGTTTGATGTTGTCCCCGTCATGCTGCTTTCAACATGGAGTTGACGAGCAGTGTTAAAGTTATATAGAGGATTGTAGAGGCTTAGAGCGCCGCATCATCTACTGATGTCGTCAGCAAGTCTTTCCTCAACAGGTTTTGGTTTCTCCGGCACCAGTTGCCCCAATATGATTAATGGCCAAAGATGCAAAACCATGTTTTTTTCTTTGCACCCCATCTCGGAGAGATTCAAATCATCCTGAGGTTATGATTTGATCTACCGAGACCCCCGGTTGTGGCAGTGGGCACTGGCGCAAAGACGCCCCATCGCCATCAAAGCATGGCAACAGTAGATTTATTTATGTTGTTTAGGTATGTTTAGGTGTTCAATTTACTTTCGGCCGATGACTCCCAACATCGGTGCAGCCAAGAAACCGAGACGGCGGCCCAAAAGTGCTGGGATCTTTCAAGAATTCATTAGATGAAAAGCACTGACTGAGAATTTCATTTCAAATAAATCTAGCACATTGCCAACCAAAATATCAAGAACACTTTATTTGGCTTACAGTGATCGGACCCTGCTACTTTTGCATGGAGTTACAAACCCACACAAATCTGAATGCCCTCAAGTAACTACGTTTATCATGGCTTATCTACGAGTTGAATGGGCTTTTTTATTCCCGCTTAAGTATAGCTGGAAGCAGGGCCCATCTTTGTGAGCATTGCTGTTGTGAGATGCTGTGCCACTGGAAGATTCGTGACTGGCATGTTGCCAGGACCCAACATGTTTGGAAGCCCTGCTGCAAAAAGGCTTAGCGCAACTTGACCCAAGTTGGACATGATCCGGGGAAGCTCTCAAATTTCATTTAGAACCCTGAAGCTGCTGGAATATCATTCTGACACACCACGGTTTCAGATTGTGAAACGCAACGTTGTAGGCCCCTAGAAGGGCTGCGCTAGCATGTCAGGTCATGGGCTGCTTCTCCGCAAGGTAGGTTTGACAGACGGACGCCAGGTACAGAATGGTACAGAAAATCCGAGACCGCCACATAGATTAAAGATTTATTTTCATGTTTCCAGCTATGTTTCGCTCACAAGTGAGGAGTTTGTGCCAAGGTTGTTGGAGCTCGGCAGACCTTCTGAAGCAGAACATATTTTACAGGAGCGGATTTCCAGCAAACCAAGGGCCACGATGCAAGCCATTCATAGCCACAAAAACGGAAATGGGCATGGTCTCCTGCGTGAAGGGACGACCAGTAGATCCTCTTAGATCCATGATTTGGACCAGCTTCGCTGCCACGACTTCATTGCCTTTCGGTAAACGTGTGTTGATTTGCATTATCGGGTGTGCTGGCATATAATTATTCCTCATAGTTCTGATTCAAACAAATTCAAGAAACCTTGGCAGGAGGGACTTCAAGCAAATGGCAGTGCAGTTCTGGCACGTTCTGCTCCGGAAAGTCAAGAGGCACACTGTGGACTGTGTAGTGCTTCCTGTAGGGAACAGGCAGTATGCACAACTGTATACAACTGTATCATTTTATGGTGCAGCATGGTGCGGCATGGTGCGGCATGGTGCGGCATGGTGCGGCATGGTGCGGCATTGATTGCAGAGCCCCCTGGTGAGTGAGTGGTCACCTGCATTGCCCGAGAGGGTCCTAGGCCTTTGTTGTGTGATCGCATCGGTTCGGAGGTTCTGGATCAGCTGGAAACTTTCTTGCAAGACGAGGCTTTGCTTCAGAAGGCCGCAGATCTCTCCAATGGCTCTGTTTGAGACCGACGAATCATTTCAGGGAGACACTCAAAGACGTTTGCCGTTGAAGAACTGTAGCTAGGTGCATCTAGGTGCCCCCTAGCTGGCAACACTGAACGAGACGCCCCATTCATGAGCTTCTTGGTTGGTTTGCCTGAACGGGACCATTATGGACCATTTGCCAGGTTCAAAAGCTCCGAGAGACTGGCAATGAGCATGTGCGACAAGGCAGAGCCCTTTGTCAATTCTTGTCTCCTTTCTATTCCTTTCTTGGCTACTCTACGCATGTTCCCAGCTGGAGGGCAGTACGAAGCTGCAGCTTGGTGTTACGAGGATTGCCTGCAGGCTGGGCGATGTGAAAATGCCTTGAACATCCTTGAACATCAACTATTCCCCGGGAAAAAAACGAGTAATTGGGGAAGTTTTGATCCATCATCCTCCACATCCGCAAGAAAAAAGGCTCCACTCTTCCGACTGACCAGAATTCTTGGCATCGCTGCATTCGCGACATTCGAACAATCAAGCACCAAAGCTTCTGAAGCCAACATAAGGCAACACCCAAGAGGATCATGTCATGCGATGCCCTTATAAATCTTATCATGTGTCTCAAGTAATTGGAGCTCCCAGACACCAATGCCGAATAATTTGTGCTCAAGCCAAGGCCAAACATCCAGCCTTATCATGTCCTATCATTGTTGAGCCACGGGGATAGCGCCACTTCACACGGGAAACCTAGTGGAACAACTGTAGAAATCTGTAGAAAGGATGGTGGAGAATGTGGAGAGAAAACTGAACAAAATTGAACGAGTAATGCTGGTACTGCGCAGCAGTCAGCCCCTAGACCGCTTGACCTCCCTTTAAAGCTGCAGGTTCTTTGGGGCGGGGGCGCTCAGGAAAAAGAGTGCGTAAAGATAGAAACGCGCTGACGTGCCCAATTCATCCCAATTCCGCAGTGTGTCCAGTTGGGGGGAAGTTTCTTAAGAATTTGTAGATAGCTTGGTTACACACCGATAAAATGATGGGGCCTTCATAATCAGAATAGCGGCCAAGTTATCGAGCTGAGGCAAGGACTTGATCTTCCCATCAGAGGTGGCGGAACGAGCCAAACGTCCATGTCGGGGTCCCCTGGTTGGACCACAGCGGCAGCTGCTATTGCTTTCGGTGACAGGTGTCTTTCCCATGGCAACTCATGGTCCAAGAGTCTGAGGACTCGCAAGTGCTATCGTTTTCAGTCATTTTGAGATGTTGTTTAACAATTATAGCCCCTTTACTTCATTTGCTTCACTATACTAACGAATTACATCTTCCATTTTGCGCTTTGACTTGCATGATTTTGCACGATGTTTAGGACCACCTCCTTACACCTCTACCAGATCTTACCAGCCATCAATTCAGGCACAGGCCTGTGGCGACAAATTCGCTCGGCGGAGACTGCAGTGGTCACCAACCTGCCGCTGATCCCAGAATTGTCTGGAGAATTTACGGATATTGGCGATTGAACACACTGTATTTCCAGCAGGACCGCGCAAGGCAGTGGCGGAAGTTTCAAAGATGGGACACTATAGGAGAGGTGAGCTGTTGTGATGCATGGATGGTAGAGTGAATCCACTGATGGACCGAAAGGTGGTTGGAGTTGTGTTTTTTGGAGTGGTTACAATGGTTGCAGTGGTCACCTCAACCACAACTGCTGGATGTAGTGTGGTGTAGTGCAGTTGTAGCTGTAGTTGTAGTGTAGTGGAGTTGTAGTCGTAGTGTAGTGTAATTAGTGTATTGTATTGTAGTTGCAGTTGTAGTTGTGGTGTGGTGCAATGAGTCTAGTGTAATGTAACGTAGTGTAGTGCAGCGTGCTATAGGGTTCTGTTCTGTAGTAGTGTGGTCTAGTGTAGTGTTGTCTTGTAATGTCTTGTATAGTGTAGTTGTAGCTGCAGTTAGTCAGTGTAGTGTAATGCAAATACTGTAGCGTAGTGTTGTGTAATGTAGGGTAGCTGCAGCTGTAGTTGTAGCCTAGTTTAGTGTAGCGTAATGCAATTAGTGCAGTGTAGTGTAATGTAGTGTAGTTGTAGTTGTAGTTAGTGTAGTGTAGTGTACTGCAATTAGTGTAGTGTATTGTAATTAGTGTACTGTAGCGTGGTTTCTTTGCATATGTCTTTGTAATTGTCGTGGGGTGGTGTGGTGTAGTTCTAGTTGCAGTTGTAGTTGTACTTGTCTATCTATCTATCTACCTATCTATCTATCTATCGATCGATCTATCTATCTATCTATCTATCTGTCTATCTATCTATCTATCTATCTAATTCTATCTATCTATCTAATTCTATCTATCTTTCTATCTGTCTATCTATCTAAATCTATCTATCTAATTCTATCTATCTAATTCTATCTATCTAATTCTATCTATCTAATTCTATCTATCTAATTCTATCTATCTATCTATCGATCGATCGATCGATCTATCGATCGATCGATCGATCTATCTATCTATCTATCTATCTTATCTATCTTATCTATCTTATCTATCTTATCTATCTTATCTATCTTATCTATCTATCTATCTATCTATCTATCTATCTATCTATGTACCGATCGATCGATCTATCTATTTGCCCACCTGCAAGTTTGAAAACGAAGCTACTCTGCGAGACTTCCTCAATTTTTGAACTTGACAACATCAGAAGCGCAGCAATTCTGCGAGACTTTCTCAATTTTTGAACTTGACAACGCCAAAAAACGAAGAAATTCTGCGAGACTTCCTCAAATTTTGAACTTGACAATGTCAAAAACGAAGCTGCGAGACTTCCTCAATTTTCGAAGTTGACAATGTCAAAAACGAAGCTGCGAGACTTCCTCAATTTTCGAAGTTGACAATGTCAAAAAAGAAGCATTTTTGCGAGACTTCCTTCAAACATGCAAAGTTGAGTGCAGAGCTGGCGGCCTCGTGCCAATGCGTTTTGTGATTTTTCCACTCCATCTGTGTAAAGTGCTGCGCCTGCCACGCAAAAGTGATGCCAGCTCATACTTGTACGAAGTGCTGCACCTGTCACGCAAAATCATGTCAGCAAACCTAAAGATTTGATGCTCCAAAATGCAACCCCCCTCAGGAAGTCAGCGCCCTGACCTCCGAACATCTCTGATGAACATGTCTCTTGTAGCGCGCCTGCCACGGAAAATGCATCTTTACAGATCCTCTTCAAATGCCCCACGCTTGCCATCGTTTTTGGAAATGCTACAAAACCTTCACGTTTTGCTCACTTTATCTCACTTTTGACAAGGTCCACAATCCCTTGCGCCTGCCACGCGAAACGACATCTGAACGTCCAAAAGTGGTCCGAGCATGTGGTGTTTTTATGTGTTTTTCACATTTTGACTTCGAAATGTGCTTCGCGCCACAACGGCGTGCACTTTTTCGACCTTGGAACTTCCAAAAGTGGCGCAAACGTGAGGTGTTTTTAGCTTTTTCACTTGCAAATGTGCTTCGCGCCACAACGGCGTGCACTTTTTCGACATCGTAACTGCCAAAAGTCCGGACCTGGTGTGCTTTGTACATTTTGACTTCGAAATGTGCTTCGCGCCACAACGGCGTGCACTTTTTGGATTTATTAGACATCTCAACTTCCAAAACTGGTCCGAACTCGCGGTGTTTTTAGCTTTTTCACTTGCAAATGTGCTTCGCGCCACAATGGCGTGCATTTTTTCGACATCTCAACTTCCAAAAGTGGTCCGGAGCTGAGGTGTTTTACACATTTTGACTTGGAAATGGGTTTCGCGCCACAACAGCGTGCAATTTTTCATCTCTCATCTGGCCAGCGAGCCTACTTTTCGAGCCTCCGGAGCCACAAATCATTGGAAAAACACAAAATTTTCTTTCCTCTGACCCTTTCTCTTCTCTAATTTTCTTTCTTCTTCCCTTCTCTTCTCTGACTCTTCCCACCCCTGCTTTTCCATCTGTCCATATAGTCGGAAGTTTGACTTCTAAATTTCCGTCGGGTTTATATATGTATATACATACTTATATATATATATGTATATATATGTATATATATGGAGGGATCATACAATATGGAAAGCAGTGGGGATTGTCCGTTAAAACACACTTGCTATGTCAGTCGGGGAAAGTTTTTAAGGACTTGAAGTGGGAGCATCCTTTGCACTTTCAACCAATGGAATTATGAATCGAGGAGGTGAACGAATTGGTTATATATCTATATAATGTTTATGCGTAAAGTTTTTGCTGAAATTCCATGACGCGGGTGCTTTAGCCTCAATCAAGAAAACTAGAGTGACAACTGAATGCAAATTCGAAACGCGGCAGAATATTCGGTCTCAATTACAAGGAGGCAGTTTTTCTGTCTCCATTTTCTACATCAACAGATGACTCCTAGGCTGTTCTGAGGTGTCCTCTTTAATTGCCTTTACCTTGGTGACCGTTAGGAAATGTGTCTTTCGAATGGTCTATCTCGGATATGTTGGTTCAAAGTTGGTTCCCGTACCTGGTACCTCAAAGTTCCTGAGCATGCATGTCATAACCTATCAGTGTGAACAATTTCACCCGAGTCATTGAGGTGTGTGAGTCTTTCAGATGAACAATGCTGGGGTATTGTGAAAAACAATAAACTCAGGTCACTTTGCTGCCTGCAGGCCGGCTGTTCAAACTTTTGGGACCACACGACTTAGTTGCGAGAGTCTCCAAACTCACGTCCAGCCCAGGGGCAAAAGGACTGGGCGCCTAGCCCTGAGCGTGCGATACAGCCAACCACTCAGCCCCAACACGTTGGCGCGCATCCTTTGAAGATAAAGAACATGTTGAACTAGAGGAGTGCATGGATCAGTCCAAAAACAGGACCAAAAATATGAGATTTTCGGGGAAAATCGCAGTGGCCGCGTGGCCCATCCAGGCTTTGCACAATTGCCCTGACCTACGATCCAGAGCACGTGAAGGCTCCAGACAGAGACAGGGTCAGAACCATGTCCCATGTCAGAACCTACAGGGGAAGGTGCTTGTTCCTTCATCCTGATTCTAATGACTCTAATGACTGGGCAATTTTTTTTATTGATGTTCAACATCTCTCGGCCTGCTGTCATCATTTAATTGGATGAAGTCACTGCCACCCAGGCTCCAGCTGTCCCCCTGATTTCTGATCTGTGAGGCCATGCGTCGCATGGGCCATGCCTATTGTGCACTGCATCATTATGAGGAGTCTGGCGGTTCACGATCTGGTGGGATTTTTCATGGGATTTTTCTGGGTTCCGATTCAGTTCCAATCGGCATCGGCAGAGCTGATCGATTTAGGGCAGTTTCTGGACGACTTTGGTGGATCCAGCGCAGTTTGCCGTGGTTTTTTTCGAGCGAAGGATGCGGAGGCAATACTCACATCAGCGGTGCGGCAGCGGCCAAAGGATGCCGCTCTCCGCCAGGACTGCGGCCAAAGGATGGCTTTGTCTTTCAGATGCGCCATGAAAAACGAAAAACCATTAAACATGTACCCTCTGGTGAACTAACATAGCAATGGAAAATGGCCATTTATAGTGGATTTTCCCATTAAAAATGGTGATTTTCCATTGCTATGTTAGTTCACCAGAAGGTACAGGAAAAGTCAAACGTTGAGAAGTCAAGACCTTAAAGCGACTCTTGCCGCCTGTAGAGCCCTGCTTCGGGGACCATCAAACCTATTTTTTTTCCAAAATAGGTTTCAACTTGATGATTTTCACAGGGTCGCAAGGTTGACAGACATGCTGGAGATGGTTTATCTCTATTGTAATTATACAACCCTAATACTTACGATTAGCAGACTAACAACAGCATAGTATGTATAATAGCCAGACCACCAGCTAAACACTTTGAAACAACAGTCATTTCACCTTGCTTACATTGTAGACTTTCAACTTCCACATCAACTCTTCTCTCCTGTGAATTTGGATACGACCATTCGCAAAAATAATTAATATCCCATACTTGTCATGTACTTGAATTTGTTTTATGGGGATATGGGATATTACTCATGATCTTACTGATATAATGTGTGATTAGCCCGAACATGCGGTTGGTTTATGATCGTCATTTTTCATCATTCCTCCATGGCCTTAGGCCATCTTGGTCCATCTTGGTACTCGTAGGACCTGGAGCGTGCACGGAGTCAAGCCGACGATGTGCGACGCCGGGCCAAGGATTGGGAGCGTGAGGTGCGGCATCAACTTACCCTCTGGTACCTGGGTTCCCTAGGAAAATGATCTACGAAGATCTACAAATGAGTCGCGTTCCAAACCCTTGCGTTCATGTTTAGGAAGCCCCTTGGTGCCTCTGGTGAGCGTAAGCCAGCGTAAGTTCAGCGTAAGACAAGTATCCGCGTAAGCAAAACCTGCGTGCGCGTAAGCAAAACGTAAGCACCGGCGTAAACATTTCCTTGATTATTTGGTGCTAGGATACAAGACATTTAGAATGGCTCAAATGGTGGGTTTGCGACATCTGAATGTTGCTGTAGTTTACAGGAGGGTAATTCAATATATGAATGGGAATAGAATTGGGATATGATATGATGTAATGGGGATTTTTAACCAACCCCAACCCTCACTGGGGATATACTGGGGACATTATAATATTTTTTCTAATATACTCAACATAGATCAGCTATGGAACATCACCATTTTCGGTAAATCATCGAACTAAATGGGTGGTTTTATATACACATAGCCTATATATGTTGGATTGCAAGTGGGTAAACGCACATGATACCAATATCAAATGATACTATCCCCCATATAACATAGACCCTGCCAGATAGGGGATTTGGAAGATATGCTTCCTTTAGAATAGGTAATTCATGGTAATTCATGGTAATTCTCAAGGTCTGCACTACGTTCAGACTTTAAGTTGGCATGGTAATTCGTCATCTGTGACCCCAATCAGCCGCAGAATCTCAGTGAATCTCGATGAATCTCGCCCCTGATATCCCCATTTTTGTTCGGGAGGTTTTTATGGTCCCCACGAAGCCCGCCAGCGATTGTATAAATCTGGCGGTTGTTTTGGAATGTATATCTAACGATCCAGGTCTTGGAAATGCATTTGGCAGATATTGGCAGCAATTACTAAAGAAGTAGAACAGAAAAAGAGTCAAATTATCAGGTTGTTCAATCGGCAGCTGCTAGAACTTCTTTTATTCTCCCCATGGCATGGAAATGTGTCCACAAAATGTGCCGGCCTTGGCAGCATTTTCATCTTATGTGTCAGGCTGAGCCTCTCAGCTTGACAGCCACTGATCAATGGATTGGTTGAAGGGAAATTTTACAGGAAAGCCCATATTTAATGGGAAAATCGATGGTTTCCTGTAGATTTTCCCTTAAACCAATCCATTGAGACAGCCACTGAGTATTGGGAGGCCTTCCGTGACATGTTTGAGCGACTGCCGGGAGGTTTCGCCACTCCAGAGGCCCGGCGACCGAACGGAACCGACGGTCGCTCAAGCGGTTTGAAAGATATACCCTCTGGTAAACTAACATACTGTAGCTATGGAAAATGGCCATTTATAGTGGATTTACCATGATTTACCCATTATATAAAAATGGTGATTTTCCATAGTTATGTTAGTTTACCAGAGGGTAAACCCCAGATGACTACAGCCATGAGTGTGGTACAGCATGGTAAAATATGGTAAACCTAATCATAAACCATCCCAAATTGGGCTCAAAAAACCCATGACCCCACCGTGAGAAAGTGAGAATGACATATGCTGGAGGTCCGAGGCACAACTGCTTGGCCTGAGTCGCAGTTCCCAACACCGCTGCTTGGCTCCACAATGTGTCAGGATATGGCCCAGGGGACCGCAGGCGATCTATTCGCTATCTATTCGTTTCAAAATGGTGGTTTGATTGGACAAAAAAGGGAGATCAGTGGCAAATATATGCAAATATGGGGATGCAGTGGGGTATTATTAGAATAAATATAGTACCCATAGGATCCATGGTGCTGCTATATATGGTAACATGGATCCCATCAATATACCCCCTTCATGTTAGCATATATACCAGCACCATGGATCCTATGGGGTAAAACTCATCGCCATGAAACGTGGCAAGCTGGGAAATCCCCGTGGTGGGAACATCTTATCGAAGTCACAGGGGGGATTTTCATGGGATTTTCCGGTTGGATCACCACAGGCTAACCATGGCAATTTTAGGGCCTTTGACCATATTTTGACCATATTTTGATATTTTGGCCATATCCACTATGGCTTCATGGATGATTGATATGCATATATTTTTTTTTTCATTCTTTGAGGAGAGGTATGAAGAGAAAGGGGGGTTCTTTCCCTGAGGGTCATGGTGGTGATCTCCGAATCGCGCATGAATACATGTTAAAACTGTTAAGATATACTTGTAAATACTTGTAATCATAACTCTTGATTATTAATTAGTATTTATGATTTATGATTGGTAATACTGTATATATATAATATACTGTAATCACATGCCCTATATAGCATTAAACTGCCGTGAACGTTGAAATGACATCCCGCCCTTTTCACGGCCAAGGCAGAGGTGCCTCGGAGCTGACGAGGCCAAGTCATGCCAAGTCACCATGGCTTTCAATACGAAATCCATGGGTCGAATGACTTGCATAATTTGGAGGTACCGACCCAGTTTAGGAAACCTATGGAAACCTTCATATGGTCAGATGTGGTCCCGCAGTTGGATAAATCATGCTGAACATCACTTCCGGTTTTTTCGGCGGTGTGCGCTGTGATTTTGCAAGCAGGTGGATGACTATGTCGCACATCTTTCAGAGAGCCTCCAGCAGGACGCAATCATACATACTTGATCATACTTGTGTTTTTGGGCAAGAGAGTATGTGTATAAGCAGCCTGGATTGTTCTCATGTCTTGACTCGCAGATATGTTGGATGGCCATAGAGTGCTGCTGAATGCTGTGGATGTGTGGATATTTAGTCACGGTTCCTACCACCAAGCGCGCACGGTTGGATTCCCCAACGTTGAAGCAGACCAAATCCAGCAGCGCAGATATGAGGAGGGTGAAGCAGCTTACATCATGGAATTGTGCAGCTCTCAGGGAAGCATTCACAGAGCGCAGTCGCAGTACCCAAGCTGTGCCAACTGCGGTTTCAAAAATATCTCCAAGACAGTCATGGACTCCTGACCTTTGACAGTACTGTCTTGACAGAACCATTGTTCAGCAAGATTCAGCAAGGAATTCAATATTTTTATTCCGTACAGTTTCAAGTGTCAGTTGCTCAGCTTTATTTGGCAGCTTGAGGCTGTACACGATAAGACATGCTGTCGAGATGCAGCCACTTGCTTAGCTTGAGTCATCATGAGTCTCTCATGAAGATGAGTTGAGGACAGTTGAATGCTTTTAAGTTTTCATCTGGAAAGGGGTTGTGGTCCTCCATGTAGTCGCAGTCGCCTCTCAGTTCATTTTTTGAACTCCTGGCCCCTAAAACCAGTCCCAAGTCTCACTTGATAAGCTTTACGGCCCTCTCGACATGTGCACTGCTGAGTGTTTTTCCATATTTTTCATATTTTCCATATTTTCCATATTTTTGCTAAATATTTTTCCATATTTACCTGACATGATTTTTTCTCCGTCCGGCCCCTAGTGCTGGCCCTCAGACGTTAAGGTTTGGTGAAGGTTCTGGAAAGCAGCTGGCCAGGATTGTGCCACTGGTGCAGGCTGAGATGGACGAAGCAGCCATCCGTCAGAAATGCTGGGACCCATAGGATCCATGGTGCTGCTATATATGGTAACATTTACCATAGAAATAGTGGATTTTCCCATTAAAAATGGTGATTTTCAATAGCTATGTTGAATTACCAGAGGGTATATGGTAACATGGATCCCATCAATATACCCCAGTCATGTTAGCATATATACCAGCACCATGGATCCGTCATGGGATAGAGAGACCCATGAGAGACCCATGAGAGACGGCACAAACGTTGCGGCAGTGCACCTGAAGCCGCAGGCACTCACTCGCAGCCCGGGATTGGTAAAGAGCCATGAGCCGGGCAAGGCTGGTACGTTCTGGGAGTTCTTGAAGAGTCATCATGCCATGACAGGTCAGTGAAACATGCTGAAATGCGGGGAATGTCAATCATAAGAATTAATCACATAAATCTGATTTCATCATATAATTAATATTATATATTGCACACACACATAATATATATATATGAATATGTGTAATTTGTATGTGTGTGTGTTTATCAGAGTGTATTCAGCATTGTTGTTCTTTTATACATTATACATGATATATATATATATATATTCATCACTATTTGTCATTATTGATCATCATTATCATGCGCCCATTTGGCCAACCATTTGCCTCACTGTTCCCCGTGATGCAGGGGCAAAGGTGCTTAGCGTCTCGCTTGACTGGCTTGACACCGGAACCTGCGGGCATTCGCCTTGTGTTCACGATGCTCCGAAATGACTATTTGGAAGAATCCATGGTAGTAGATGAAAATAGGTGAATTCACTCCCGAAATAGCCATTCCAATAGCCAGCTATAATGCTGATTAATTTTCAGACAATCCCATATCCCATCTAATGTTCCACCTAAAGAATTGCCATGTGCGAAATGTGTGATTTACTGGGGGCTGATAGGGTGCTTTGAAAAGCATCTCAATAAAAGTGAATAGCAAGGAAAAAAAAAACGAAGCAATGGCGACCTTGAGGAGCGATACCTCGTCAGATTGATGACCATTTTTCATCAGTACGGTATGTTTTGACCGTAGCACATTGATCTTCAATACCAATAAGGATAATAAGGCCTTCGTACTTCGTATAGATACCTCATCCAGGTGCTGCCCTTAATGGCTGTTGCTGACCTGACCTGGCAAGTCCAAACCCGGTTGCCAACAGGGTCGAGCAGCTCGACCAAGTAAGTTGTCAAGTCTTCAATGGTTTGACCTTCCGAGGATGATGGCAGTTGTGGCAGTTGAATACGTTTGATTGAATTAATTATAGGCAAATCATCATAAATCATCATAAATCATCTATAAATGGGCCATTTTCCATAGCTATGTTAAAGAAACCAGAGAGGAATTTATAATCAAAATGAATGCTGGTATTGTTCACAACAGAAATTCATGGTGGTTCAGCTCCAGCTCCCGCGAGGAGCAGCCTCTGCATGACCGCGATGAATCGGTGGTTTTTTGGCTGCAGCCGGCAGCCGGATGAAGCTTGGCATGTGTGATTTGCTCTTCCGAGTCTCATTGCATATAAAAATCTTACTAAAAAACTTGACATTGCGATACTATGCCTGTATCTATCGCTTTCCACACAGATGGCTTTGCGATTGCTTCGCCGAAAACGGTTCTCCTTCAGCTGTGCCTTTGTGTGAGTCACTAGGACTCCAACGTTTTATTCGAGAAGACTTGGGTATGCGGAATGCTACACAAAAGGATAAGTTTCCGGAAGTGCATACGCGCGCACATAGATCACATCAAAGTCGATTAAAAGCTGTAGATTGAAAACGGTTTGGTACCCTCCTGCAAACTAACAGTTCGATGTGGAAAAGCCACCATTTGCAGATCATCTTCCTGGGTTTTCCCGGGGGGTTCCCACTCGTCGCCAAGGCTTTTTGCCACCAGCTACGGGCACAGAAGAAGATCTTTTTGGACGAGCTCCAGTCCCAAAAGATGCAGAAGGATAGTTTTTCGCAGGGCCATGGGGGTTCTTCTCACACCAGAGAACACACACACACATGTATATATATAATATGCATTATATATAATATGCATTATATATATAATATGCATTATATATATATTATATAATATTATATAATATAGTATAATATTATATAATATAGTATAATATTATATTATATTATATTACATTATATTATATTATATGTATAAATTATTTGCATATGTATACACATATGTGTGTGTGTCTATTTGTCTCATTGTTCATTATTCTTTGTCATGCATTTTTTGATTGCATACATCATTGTATATATATATATTTCATTTGTATCTATAATATACATATATATATATACTTATCATTTGTGATCATGTATTTAGTGATATTGAGGCATCGATTTTTTCGAAATGAAATTGGGAAGCAGTAGCAATGGGTGGCAATCCGGCCAGGAGATCCTTTGGGAGGCCTGCCAGTTTGACGATGTCCAAAATCAGTCTGTACACGGATGGCGGGTTTTGCTCCCAGTTGGAGGTCCTCATATTGTACACAAACATATGTACAGTATATATATAAATACACATATATTACAAACACACATATATATATATGACATGTGTAAGTGTATATCATTTACCACAGATATCTAGAATGAATTTGTATATGTGTGTGTAAATTGACTGGTAGATACTGTAGATAACTGGCCTAGAGGGCCTAGTGACCTGATTCGGTCAGTTGCTCCACAGGCACCGTGGTCCTGCCAGACAGAGCATTCCTGGCAGCGCCCCCAGCTGAACCTCGAAATCAATAGATCCACCGATCACCAAACCAGAGTACGTTTTCGGACGATTGTGAGAGGGAAGGGGCCATAGAAATGCCATTATTTGACTCATATCTTATCATCATTCTATGCCATTCTGCTCCCTTTCCCCGTAGGCAATGTGTGCCTTTAGTTCGACAAGGAGCATGGGTAGCAGGCCGGGTTTCATTTTTTGAGACAGGAACATGTCCAAAAAGTCATCGCATGCGCATTTGAAGGCGGTTTCTTTGGGGCAACCAGCGAAGTTCTGTGTGAGCCTCAGCCATCTCCAAGGGGCATCGATTGACAGGAATCCAGATACAGATTTGCTTGAGCTGGTGTCCTGGTCGTGTGGAAACACCACTAAGGGATAGCCCGGTGCCAATTGTGGCAGGGAGCACCCTGTTGGCTCCAAACAGTTTTGGGATGTTTTAGGTACTCGACGGCTGGGAGGTGGAACCAGGGGGAAAGGTTTCATCGTCGATTTCCCGGTCATCCATAAAGTTTGGCTCAAGATCATTGCGAGGAACCCATATGTTTGCAATGATTGCAATGTGGATCCTGCAGTGTCTCTGCAAGCTGCAGGATTGGAAGAAGGAGACCACCTGACAGCTGTTGCTGTAGAGGCAAAGATAGCGACAGCAGGAAGGGCTTTCGCAGTGTTCTGCTCTGGAGGTAACCAGGTTGTCTCGTGGGGCGCGCGCTCCAGGTTATGGTGGTGACAGCTCTGAAGTAGCAGATTCAAGGAACGGAGTGCGCATTTGCTGCAATCCTGGCGGATGGGTCAGTCGTGACTTGGGGCAATCCACATTTTGGTGGTGACAGCTCCAAAGTCCGGGATCAGCTCGAAGATGTCCAGCAGTTTCAAGCAACTCTGAGCTCATTTGTCGCTATCCTGGCAGATGGATCGATTGTGACTTGGGGCGATGAAGATACTGGTGGTGACGTCGCAGATTGGTTTGAATATGTGTAGTGACCAGATTGGCGCAAAGCCGCCCTGCAGTCGAGAATCCTCGAGTGTTTTGGTTGGCTTTCAGAAAAACATTTGGTCGCCTATGATGGCATTTCTTGAGAGGGCGGGTTGCACCCTCTACAACAACGATCAAATATGATTTTTCAGGAATTGTGGAGGGTTTAAAACTGAGCCCTTCACTTTGCCGAATTTGCATAGCAGTCATCATCTACAATCCCTCGGCATTCCCTCAGCCCTGCAGAATGTGGGCTTTCAATGGGTTGTCAGAGTCCAAAAAGTGATAGGATCAGCTTGTTAAGACCAATTTTCTACAGGTGGGGGTTGCCCAAACATCCCAAACATACCCAACCATGCCAAATCACCGTGTCTTCAATGTGTACAGGGAACCAATTCAATTAATTACTTACTTACCACAATGGTGGGCGGCGCATGACCTTTCCGACTTTCACCTTAGTTCAAACAGGATGCCCGCTGGTACAAACAAACGCGTGAGATGCTTTGAACACTTGAAGCAAGAAAGGTGACAAGTCTTTTGGGAAATATTATATAGGCCAAAAAAATCACTGTAGGCCCTGGCCAAAGATTTCAGACCGCTGAGGTCCGGCAATTCTGCAATCAGACCTTTCGAGGCTGGGGGACGCGCTGGCTGAGCATCGAAGACGTGTGACGCGCGATCGGCATTGGTTTTCAATGTTTTGCATGGTATAGTTTGATATATATAATATTATATATATATATATACGTGCATACATCATATACCACATCATTCAATTGCAATTGAGATTAAGTACCATTTGAATGACATTGTGTCACGCAATACAACCCAACATACCTTGCTCGCGAGTTGGTTGGACTCAATAAGTACCATTCCACAAATTTTCTGCTTAGCCTAGACGGTTTTGATTCGTTTTTCCGCAGTTTATTGATCTCTCCACCCTGGATGAGAAACTCATCAAGACAAATCGCAAAAACATGGGAGGGAATGCGGTCTGTTTTTGCGGACGTTTCACCAAATCGTTCATGCTCTTGCTTGGTTCAAGATTTAGCCATGGCAAATTGCGGGTTTAAAATGGTCAACTCTAAGACTCTAACAACAGCTACGTAAATCAAAATGCCGCAGGAGCCAATTTTTTTCCTCGGGTATTGCGCACATGAGTTGGAACACATGTTTGATATGTCGGGTTTCACATTGTCAGAGGCCACATATTCTCTTTTCAATACCTCAAACATCCAAATTCATGCTATTCTTCAATGAAACCTCTGTGCAGCATGAGTCCGCAGATCACAGCCTACCCGCTATATATACCACTACCGGTGATTTCTATCAGGGCAACCCGAGGTCAAAGTCCACTTTTTTTGCGGAATTTTTAGTGACGGGCCCAGAGCTAAAGCGTTTACGTTTTCGCTTCGATGCTTGAGCTGGGAAGTCATGCTCTGAGAGACTTGGCCATCAGCGTGGAGGCTTCAGTTTGTTTTCAATTCCCATCCCGGGATGACGATCCCAATTAACATCAATTGACTAATGGATCGGTTGGAACCAGCAACCAGCCTTTTGATGTTCTACTCCTGTAACTTGTCCTTGAGGCTCATTTCGGTTTTGGTTGATCAGTGCTTGGGGTGTAGCCGCAGTGGTCCTCAGATGTCCCAAATGTGGTCAGTGTTCGTGATGCCCACCATGTTCTTGCTGGACACTTCCAGCACATATCCAGTTTAGGCCGCGACTGGTGCGCAGTTTGTGTTCGTTTTTTCGTGGCGCCGCTCCGTTTCTATCTGCCCTGGCTGAAATGCGCACAACAGTTTTGAATCAATAACCAATAACTAATGCAAGATATACTGAAAAAGATCAATGGTTCCACATGCAGGGTTCAAATTGTGCATGGACTGTTCTGAACTCATTGAACTTTATAAGACAGGTCACCCCTTGATATATAACTGCTGATCAAGTAGAGTTGAGAGTCCAGCTCGTTAGCCCTTCAACTAGTCTCAGGCGATGTTTCCCATTGCCAAAACATGCCACCAAATACATACAACAATTCTGACCTAGGAAAACCAGGTCAGCAACCTGCAGATTTTTCTTGAAATGTTTCCCTACCGAAATCGGCAATGCTGCTGGGTCGTCCACAGATTGAGGGTTCGCAGTCTGGCCAGCCCCAGCCGGGAGATTGCCGCATCAGAGACCACCCGGAGTTTGCTCAGTCAGATCCAGGGCGAAGAGAACGTTTCCGGGGACGGCGTGTTGCAGTCGTGCACTGGCGGACTCTTACGGCTGTGGCCCTGCTGCGCTGAGTCGGTGTTTTGGGCCGTGGCCCCTTGGGGGGCTCCCGAACTCCAACCCACCAAGGCAGAATGTAGAATGTGGTTTGTGAAGTGAACTGTTGGAGAGTACCAATCTCCGATTTCTTGCGTCATCTTGCGTCCTTGCATGCGGGTGAGCTGCCAATTTCCTTCAAAACTCAATGAATTCTGGAACATTTTTGGTGCAGTGGTGCATGAATATCACATGATTAAACTATTTTTATATTCTTTATGTGGATGCTATAGTGAAAGAGAATTTAGATGAATTCAGAGCTGGCGATTTAGTTTGACCTTTCAATCTTTCTTCACACCTGCAGACGCTGAGGTCCATGCCGGGCAGCGTCTTCGTGGGTCAGGGCTTGCGCGTGGGAAGTGTGCCGGCCGTAGTGGTCCGCTTTGACCGCACGGGAGTGGTGGCCGCAGCACTTGATGTAGCTGAAGCTGGTGCATCCGTCACTGGTCGGGGGTATAAGATGAGATCCCCATGGTAAAAAACTGTTTGGGAAACGGCACTTGTTTATCTTGTTGCAAGGGCAGTTAAAAGAGTGGGACACACACACACAAAAGGTTATAATTTACAGAGGAGGGGGAAGAAAAAAACAAAATCTCTGAAGAGTCCCGGATCTCCTTGAATTAGAGAAAATTTGAATCATTGAAGGGAGCTTGTTGGAACTCCAACTGTGCTGTCCCAGGATGCTTGCATAGTTTCTGAGTGAAACAAAATGCTGTAATAAACTTTGCATGTTCTGACCGTGGTTCCTGAAATCAGCGCAACCACTTTCACTTGCTCACTTCTTCCACTGGCAGACCCGAACTCCGAGATAGCGAGAGAGAGAGAAAGAGGGGGAGTATATATATATATATATATAATATTATATATATATAGCTGTACATCACCTGGTCCCTATATACACGGCAAACAGCACCCCTTGCACCTCAAACCTTCTCCGTCCAAGTGGGGCCATGTCCCCAAGCCATGACAAGCCCAGGTCAGCTCGTGTGGCATGTTGACTTTGAAGCAAAGAGATTGGCCGGCAGGGTTGTCCAATTGTCACTTGGAAGATGTGGCGCCAGCGGTAGTGGAGCTGGAGAAATCAATGGAAATCAAGTATATTTTTTGCACCATGCTCAAAGTGATGCACCTGCAAGGATTTGGTGGTTGCATTGTGGTTTCTAGGAGGTTCACTTGTATGTTAGTCATCAGACCCACCTGGAGGCTTGTGTCCGTTCAATATATTTGATGTAATGTAACCCATTCTAAAACCGAGGTTCTCTTTCTGAAATTGTGACGCCATCTGGTGCTTCGACAGAGAGTTTACTCAAATTACCTGCGTCTAGGGCTTCCAAGCGCCTACAGATACAAAGACACTTACCGTCTGGATTGGCAGCTGTAGAAGCGCTCCTTCCTCTTGGTGAGGGTCAGAGATTGGGACTGGTGGGGCCCCCTGGAACTGGCAAAAGCACGGCACTCAGGACCTTCGTTGCTGATGGGAAAGTTGTGGTGTTTTGGATTTGGATGCATTTATACTATAGTATAATAGATTCTGGATGATTTGGGTTTCTGGATCATTTTGGTATTCAGCTTGCATGTTCCATCCATATCCATTGAATCCCCATCCTGGCACCGATTTCAGAGGATGCTGGCGACATCACAGGCGCCGGAGACTGCCGTGGTCTTTGTGGCGCACCGGCGACATCAGAGTCGACTGGAGGCGGAGTTTGCAGAGCTCGGTGATTTGGCACCAGCACCACTTCCAGGAAGTGCCCCAAAAACGAAAAAATGACAGCAGAATATACTGTACAGTAGTAGTTCAAATATATAGTGACAATGATCATGTTTAACAGTTAACACTTTAGCATCTTTAGTAATCATCATTAGTTATATTAATGTTTGATTTCATTTGAACATGGACATTTACAGGAATTTGAGGGCAAGTTGCCGAGAGAGCTATTGGAAGGGCCCAGCAGCATGGATTTTTTGATCGGCACCTGGTTGTCCTGCCATCCTCAGCCATCCTCGGAAGGAGCCCCAAAAAAACCAAGTCTGGTTGCCAACCATGCCAACAACACCTGGCTATGAATCAATACCTATTAATACCATTTTTAGAGGGATGAACATCTATTTACCAGCTATTTTTTTGTTCACCAGGGGTACAAGGTTTTGACCCACTGCCACCTGAGGTGATCGTTCAGCTCCATTTGTGGCGTTATCTGCTGAGCCATCCTCCCCAGCCCCTGAGCGCTATTTTCTGCTACTTGCTGCGCTGCGCCTGGCAGTTGAATTGGGCAGCTCCCACCGCAACGTTGTGCTGGCTGTGGACGCTCGCTTTGCAATTAGATTTGACACGTGCATGATTTTATAAGGCATACTTAACCCGCACTCGTTTAGAGTAAATATATGTAAATGATTGTAAATGTATCACACACTTTAAACCGACAAATATCGTGTCACAATCTTATTACTTACTGTACGATTTAGCCTGTATTTTATGCATTGCCCTAAAGTTTTCATTATTATTTTTTTGCTTTGTCAAGTATATATGGCTATGTATGGCTGAAAGATACTGTGGATGGAAGAGATCCTGCACCACCTTGGATGGTTCAAACATGTTCCAACCCAAGAAATAATGAGAACCATCTACCAACTGGCTCCTGGGGCGATGGAGAGGTCTACCAACTGCAGGATTTCGCAACCATCCGCAGAATATATTTCACTGGTAATTTAACAGTTTGCTATTGAAAATCACCATAGAAATAGTGGATTTTCCCATTAAAAATGGTGATTTTCCATAGTTATGTTAGTTTACCAGAGGTAAACCTCCATTTTCCATCATTTTCCTATGGTTTTCCTATGGTTTTTCACTTCACCATTTCTTAACTCACGACGCCGTAAGGACGATGCTGTGAGCTTCGCAGAGGCCGCTGCCGAGCTGAAGGTGCCGCCGATGTCAGCAGCGCAGGTGGTGGCCTCTACCTTAGAGGCAGCTGGAAATTGGATTCTTGGCAGAAGCCATGATAAATATGGGTGGAATATATACATATATAATTAATATATAATTAATATATAATTAATACACTATAGTACTGTAGTTTCTGTATCCCTATTATGGGTAATTAATTATAGTACTGTAGTTTCTGTATCTTTTTTTTTGGATAGGAAGAATATGCAAGAATCCCCAATCAAACAGGGAATTATCCTCTTTTGTTTTGGTAATAAGCTCCAATCAACAAGGTAGTATAGCATATTGTTTATAAGCCCCCTGCTGCTGCTACTGCGGCTGCGGCGGCTGCTGCTGCTGCTGCTACTGCTGCTGCTTGCCTGCTGCTGCTTGCCTGCTGCTGCTTGCCTGCTGCTCCTTGCCTGCTGCTCCTTCCCTGCTGCTGCCTCCTATTGTGCTGCTTCCTCCTGCTGCTGCTGCCGCTGCTGCTGCCTGGTGCAAACATTTTTCCGAAAAAGGAATTAAAGGACCGGATAACCCCACATGTTACCAACTTCTTTAGACTTAGACTGACCATAGAAGAGCAAGAAGGGAAGAGGAAGTATAAGAGTGATGGAGCGGTGATGGTGGGTGAGTTTGTGTGTATGTATGTATGTTCATGTACAGTGAGTGAGTGAGTGAGAGTGTGAGTGAGTGATGCGAGTGTGGTGTGTGTGAGTGAGGGATGTGAGAGTGAGTGAAGTGAGTGAAGTGAAGTGAAGTGAAGTGAAGTGAAGTGAAGTGAAAAGAGGCGGAGCCCGAGGGACGCCAGGGCGTACATCCGACCCCGTGGCAGTGCACATTGTCCCACGCCTGCCACGCAAAAGAGGCGGAGCCCGAGGGACGCCAGGGCGTACATCCAACCCCGTGGCAATGCACATTGTCCCACGCCTGCCACGCAAAAGAGGCGGAGCCCGAGGGACGCCAGGGCGTACATCCGACCCCTTGGCAGTGCACATTGTCCCACGCCTGCCACGCAAAAGACGCGGAGCCCGAGGGACGCCAGGGCGTACATCCGACCCCTTGGCTGTGCACATTGTCCCACGCCTGCCACGCAAAAGACGCGGAGCCCGAGGGACGCCAGGGCGTACATCCGACCCCTTGGCAGTGCACATTGTCCCACGCCTGCCACGCAAACGAGGCGGAGACCAAGGGACGCCAGGGCGTACATCCGACCCCTTGGCAGTGCACATGGTCCCACGCCTGCCACGCAAACGAGGCGGAGACCAAGGGACGCCAGGGCGTACATCCGACCCCTTGGCAGTGCACATGGTCCCACGCCTGCCACGCAAAAGAGGCGGAGACCCAAGGGACGCCAGGGCGTACATCCGACCCCTTGGCAGTGCACATTGTCCCACGCCTGCCACGCAAAAGCGGCGGAGACCCAAGGGACGCCAGGGCGTACATCCGACCCCTTGGCGGTGCACATTGTCCCACGCCTGCCACGCAAAAGAGGCGGAGACCCAAGGGACGCCAGGGCGTACATCCGACCCCTTGGCGGTGCACATTGTCCCACGCCTGCCACGCAAAAGAGGCGGAGACCCAAGGGACGCCAGGGCGTACATCCGACCCCTTGGCTGCTCACATTGTGCCACGCCTGCCACGCAAAAGCGGCGGAGACCCAAGGGACGCCAGGGCGTACATCCGACCCCTTGGCAGTGCACATTGAATTGTCCCACGCCTGCCACGCAAAAGAGGCGGAGACCCAAGGGACGCCAGGGCGTACATCCGACCCCTTGGCAGTGTACATCCGACCCCTTGGCAGTGCACATCCCACGCCTGTCCCACGCCTGCCACGCATGTGAGTGAGTGAGTGAGTGAGTGAGTGAGTGAGTGAGTGAGTGAGTGAGTGAGTGAGTGAGTGAGTGAGTGAAGGTGAGTGAGTGAAGGTGAGTGAGTGAGTGAGTGAGTGAGTGAGTGAGTGAGTGAGTGAGTGAGTGAGTGAGTGAGTGAGTGAGTGAGTGAGTGAGTGAGTGAGTGTGTGTGTGTGTGTGAAACCCGTTATAACATACGGATATTTTACAATTTCGTACAACGAAGCAAGGAAGGCAATATGTGGCGACAATAAGAACTGAATTTTAATTCAGACATGCAGGGGGCTGGAGTGTGAATCAGAAGTCTCCAGCCAACGAAGACGCTTCTGATGTCACAGTGATATCAACCTGGGACGCTAGGTTGACGTACCTGCAATGTTGGTTCGAACTTTTGCACAAGCTGTTCTATTACCTTGTTTTTGAGTCCTTTGGCAAGAATCGATTGACCGAATTTCACCGTTTGCAACCGTGCCCCATCGAAGGTGACTTAGGAAATCAGGCGACGGCAAGTTCTACTCTCATCATCATCAAATCAACCTAAGCAGTGTGTTTGGGTGAACTCACTGACTTGTGAGCACCGTCGATCTGCTTCGTGCGGGTCTAGATCTGGTCACCGGCCGCTCCGGTGGATAGTGGAATGTCCAGTTGGGACAGTCTGGATTCGAAGTGGTTGTTATGTCAACCACAGGATTACTCCACTTTAGGAGCGAATTATGACAGTTTGTCATACTTCAACGGATTAGTCCCACCGATGGACGGATTAGTCCCTTCGGAGGACCAGGATTAATCCCTATAGGGATGGATTAACCCTTCGGGGGGTCTCACCCGTTGTCTTACCCAAGTCCGATCCTTACTCAGAACCACAACTGGTCGTCGGTCGCTCTGGTGTTGAACAGTTGGCCGCAGTTTGGGCACTCACCTTTTTGCACACGTCTAAGTAAAGTGGAACAGTAGGCCTATTCAGCTTTTCACCCGTCGGTCGCTCTGGTGTTGAACAGTTGGCCGCAGTCACCTTTTTGCACACCTTTCAGTATTGTGGAACAGTAGGCCTTTTCAGCTTTTCATCTGTCGGTCGCTCTGGTGTTGAACAGTCGGCCGCAGTTTGGGCACTCACCTTTTTGCACACGCCTAAGTAAAGTGGAACAGTAGGCCTATTCAGCTTTTCACCCGTCGGTCGCTCTGGTGTTGAACAGTTGGCCGCAGTTTGGGCACTCACCTTTTTACTAAACAACTCTCCGAGGGTGAGTCTGACAATTTAACTACTCGTATTGTCTATCATCGCCCTACGGGGCTTGTGTGTGTGTGAAACCCGTTATCACATACGGAATTTTGATATAACTGTATGCTACGACAACAGGGACTGAGTTCTTCAGACCACAACCTTTAATTCAGAAATGCAGGGGGCTGGAGTGTGAATCAGAAGTCTCCAGCCAACGAAGACGCTTCTGATGTCACAGTGATATCAACCTGGGACGCTAGGTTGACGTACCTGCAATGTTGGTTCGAACTTTTGCACAAGCTGTTCTATTACCTTGTTTTTGAGTCCTTTGGCAAGAATCGATTAACCGAATTTCACCGTTTGCAACCGTGCCCCATCGAAGGTGACTTAGGAAATCAGGCGACGGCAAGTTCTACTCTCATCATCATCAAATCAACCTAAGCAGTGTGTGAGTGAGTGAGTGAGAGTGAGTGAGTGTGTGTGTGTGAGTGAGTGTGTGTGTGAGTGAGTGAGTGAGAGAGTGAGTGTGTGTGTGAGTGAGTGAGTGAGTGAGAGAGTGAGTGAGTGAGAGTGAGTGAGTGTGTGTGTGAGTGAGCGGGTGAGAGTGAGTGAGTGTGTGTGTGTGAGTGAGAGTGAGTGAGTGTTTGTGTGTGAGTGAGGAGGGAGGACGGGAAGGAGGAGGAGGACGAGGAGTGGATACAGAACTAAAAACAAAAACCCCACACGTCAATGTGGGGAAATAACAGTCTCGGTCACCTTGTTTGGCGCTGGCAGGAGGTACGGGCGGGAGATACCCGCAGAGGGAGGGAATGTGTCTGTTTCTGGCTGGTTGGAATGAAAGGCTTCACTCCAACTTGTAGTCGCTGGGTGGATAGGATAACAGACTTCTTGAGAGCTGTCCACGGCCTTGATGCATATCGCGCCAACCATAGATTTGGCTGCGGGAAACAAGGGGCCCTTATATCCTTATATCATTGCTGCCAGTAGGATTTGCTACCAAGAATTTGTTTGTATTGACTTGTGCCCTTCAAAATCGTCACTGTGCGCAATGCCTCGGCTACTTCTAGCTAAATCTCCAAGTAATTACAGATGAAACAAACTGTGCCATGGTATTTTCCTTCAAAGATTATGATTATACATATATGATTGTATGTGCCACATGGGCGCTGTACCAGTAGGATTTGAGGAGATGATATGGGTATCAGCTTTTTCCCAATCATTCCATTAGGATTCTCTACCAATATGAACCTTTTCAGCAAAGTATCTGTCATTTTCCCTGCTGTGCGCAATGCTTCGGCCACTTTTAGATATATGTATTATTTGTAGATGAAACGGGCTGTGCCATGGTGATTCTTCTTCCCTGATGCAACTTTCCACTACCTCATGTGGCTTTTCTGTATCGCCGCTGTGACATGGGGATGATGTGACTTTTCCCGCCTGATGTGACTTAAGTACGGTGCTAGTATTTCAAATGGCTTAGATGGGCTTGAATTATTTTCCCAAAAAAATGATGGCCGTGGGCTGCGCTATTTCCAGGGAAACTCAGATGTTTGGAATATGGTGAACGGTGTCTTGCGCTTGTTTACGAAAGCCAGCCAAAGGCTAGGCTAAAGTTGTCCCATGCGAACGAAGGGAGAGCATTCAAAATCGTTCAAAATCTCGGGCGTGCGTTTGGCTCGTTTTTGCGTATCATATACCATGACGCAAATGGTGATGGTAGGGTATCGATTCCCCCCTGGTCCGCATCCAGGTGCCCGTTTGGTCCGCGCTGACATTCATGTCTACAGTGCTTGGTTGTGCAAAAAATGCAATCCGCGTTACACTCATTTCTACAGGGTTTGGTTGTGAAAAACGATGCCACCAGGAGAAGGTTTATACATGGGCGTCTCACATTGTGTTATTTGTATACCGTATACCCAAGTTTCCCATCAGAAACGCAAGTATGATAGGACTAATCAATGGGAATTTCAGGATCCAAAAATGGAGGTACCTACCATATATAAGGCCTATATAAGGGCTACGTAAGGGGATACCCCCCCAAAATATGGCCTAAAAAATGGTACAGTACCTCCATTTTAGGATCCTGGAGATCTCCCATTGAACTAACTAACTAGACGGAGTAATGCATTGACGCGTCTTGCCGCTTCACCCATCAAAATTGGACGCTGGCTTTCGTTCCACCCTCCTCAGGTATGCACCCACGGTCATAACCTGAATTTGACAAGTGGAGGGCTTGCAAAATAATTGCCTGGTCAGATTTAACAGTGGCTTTGGGTCATCTATATTTTGATAACACCACCCCGTCCCCAGCAAAGAATAAGAATGAACAATCAGGACATGCAGCGGGCACCAGCGTGCGCTTTCTGTGGCCATTGCGCTGGACCTTGCACCAGGGGATGAGTTGGCAACTGTCCCGAGAGATTTGTGGCGTTCGACGGAGCCCTCTCTGGATATTTGTCTGAATTTTCGCGACTTGTTTGCACCTGAAGCCAACCAACAGATTCGAAGCTTGTTTGCCTTCTCAGGCTGAGTTGATCTAGGTTCTTGGTCACTTGCCCCATCTTGCCCCGTTGCTTCCCCAGTCGCTTCCCAGCTGAGCCCTTCGCACAAGGTCATGGGCTTGCCTCTAAAGGCGTTTATCCAGCGATTGACGCTCAGGGCATTGGCTCTCTGCAGTAATTTCTTTTTTGCCACATCGAAGTAAGTCGGATGATTATGTGACATTGTCTATCCTGGGTGATGATCCCAATTAGCTTTCATTTTCATATATTTTTGAGCAATTTTGAGCATGAATGGCCAAATATGGCCAAATCCCCAATAATTACCCAACTAGTTCTCAGGTTGTAGCTAAAATACCGCTAAGATTGGTCAGATTGGTGCAACCTTGGTCAAACAAAGGACCTGGACGTGTTGAACACCACCTATGCCGCCACCTTCCAGCTCCCGGTACTTCGCGTGCTTCGCGGGGAACTTCGAGGTCTGTTAAGGCGAAGCAACAGCCTGAAGGAAAAACTGGCCACTTGGAGAAGCGTGTTGGGCTCATCATCATCCCATAGGCGGGTGCCCCAGTTTGTCAGCTAAGTTGGGCTGTAACTGGGTTAACCATCTGTTTATGGTAGATATATCATGATATATCTATGGTATTCTATGGTCAATGGTGTTTATAAACCAACTTAGAACATCTTACAACTGAATGGTACCTCCATCCCAGGCATTCACTGGAGTTGTAGAATGCCATTCCTTCTATCGACCAGTTGAATAGGACATGATGGGACCTAGTGGTGGGGAGTTTGGGTTTCAATTCCCCGTATTGGAGAAACACTTGAGTTTGAACCCTTACTGTGCGAATGTCGCATGTTCTGACATTTGTTGTGTTGCATCGAAGCATGTTTATTAATGTGTATATGTATATATATATATGTGTATATATATGTGTGTATAATATTGTATGTATATATATTTTTTACATATACGCATATGTTTATATATATATGTATATGCATATATATATATATATATGTATATATATATATATGTATATATATAATTATATACTAGTCCATATAATTATATATATATACTTATTATTTATTTATTCGTTATATATATATATAAATGTGTGTGTGTGTGCATACAGACAGCCAAATCATTCCTAAGATGCCAGACATGACTTCCAAGATTTTGAGGCTACCGGCAAAGATTTGGGCTTTCAAGCAGAGGTTGAGGATGTTGACTCCCTTGGCAGTGATACAGTTGCCCGAGCTTTGTTGACACAGTCGAAACTGTGTTCAATGCGAGAGGCCGCATTTTATTTTGCACCGTCGGTGCCACAGAGGTTACTTTCACTTCACTGCCGAAAATACAATCACCTTATCAGACATGTAAACTTTCAGGAAAGGGCCATCTTGAGTCATCTTGACCTGGAAAAACATGGTTGGCAACTGGGGGTGTGCAAAACGTCGCTGTTTTTTTTTGCTTCCAGTATGCTAGTCCCTTGCAGGTGGTGGTGCTCGCATGTGCCAGTGTGGTCTTCTACTTCCCGCGTCAGAGACCATCCAGGTCAGAAGTTGCTGCCTTCCAAGCGGAAGTTGTTGACCTGATAAGGTCCTACTATCCCAGCATTTGGGAAGCTCATCATTTGATTCAAGGTACTCAGCTTGTCTTTCACCGGATATGGCATTTGTTTGGTTATGTTTGGATTTTGATTTGCTCGACACTTTTTTTGCCTCAAAAACTGCCCTGTTCCACTGCCTGAGGAAGCGTTGGATCGAGACTTGAGCGATGAAGAAGCCAGAAGACTCCTTCAGGAATTGGGCGAGGTACTTTTGCAAAACCGACATGTTTTCCAGCTCACAAGGCTCGATGTTTAGCAGGGCTCCCCATGCCAGATCGAGTTGAAGAGCGGAAAAACAGGGGCGACACTTTGGGGGTGGCTGTACATTTCGTTGACCTTTCCAAATTATTCCAAATTCACTCTCAACAGTTTTCAATTTGCAGATTTGGGATGAACGTTGCCCATGTTTGATTTTTCAATGCTCAATGGCTGAAGACTTGTGCGCAGCCAACTAACGCCAACTACCCCAAATTTGTCCAATCAATGTCAGCATCCTACTTCTATCATCCAATCCTTTTCCTTTTTGCTGGCTCTTGCATACAAAGGTGTGGGGATTGTGACCAGTGTTTTTTCCTGGTGCTTTGATGCTACTATTACTATAGCTAGTGTACCATTTTCGGTAGCGGGATGCAATCAATTAATTCCAAGGCTGACAGGTGACAGTTCATGTCTTGGAGTGCAAGTGTTACTGCAGGTCATTCCAAACTAAAACAATTCGTGATAAACTTCAGAGGCTTTGGCAGGCGTTGCGACGTAGTTGCTCGCACCAACTGCAAGGGTTGTAGCCAAACCATAATTGCCTTCTCACTCGTTACACGAACTTTGCTTCAACTGACTGTCTGTACAAATATGATCAAATATGCAAATATCAACCCGAATTCATTGACCCTAGCTGAAGATTTTGGATGGTTATTATTTATTATTCACAAAAAGTGATACTCTGCACTAAAGTGGTAGTCGCCAAAAAACACCAAACTCTTTGGAGATGACGTTGGAGAGAGAGAGAGAGAGAGAGATCGATTAAGATTCATGAGTTAGCATAAGTCCCTCTTTGTCAATCACATCTGAGGATCTCTTTCCCAAGCAATTTCCTATGCTCCAACTGCTTCAGCCTCAGAATCATGCTACCTCAGACAGATGCAGACCATATATAGTACCCAACTAGCCCAATGGAGCGTGCAAGCAGAGGGACCACCGATGGGCCCAACAAGTTGGATGGTTCAGCCATTGGACGACCCACCATTGGTTTAGTTGGATGGCTGAACAAAGCATAGCCATGGGATTCTGTGGGTGGTTTTGAACAACATTATTGGTGTCAATATGTCACCATTAATTATCATTATCAACCACTATTAATCACTATTAATCACTATTAATCACTATTACCAGAGGGTAAACCTCCATTTTCCTATGTTTAAATTCATGATCCAATTCATTCCCAGAACTGTTTTTTTTTTTTCGATCATCTCCTGGAACTCTGCCGGATTAGGCAGTGTCCTCTCAACCAGATCGGGGGGATCTGTCAGCCATCGATGGTGCTGTTGAAGTGATCTTTTTTGACTTTGATGGCACCTTGACTGAGTCACCCTGCCATGGATTTGAAGGGAAAGAAGGTTGAAAGAATGGCCCAAAAAAGGGCAAGTTCCGGAACCAGAGGAGATGTGTGGCAACAAAAAGCCAGGAACATGCCATGCCATATTTGTTTGGCAGGGGAAATGAGCTGTTTCCTGTTCATGATCTGGACCGACCCAGTCATGCAGTGATTTCGGGATGTCCTTTCGTCTTGAAATCTGCCAGCATGACAGGACCCCGGGCACGAGAGCTTCACATGCCAGCAAGATGGCTGAACTCATGGGGAGGCCACAGCTGGCAATTGTTCTGCGACCTGAAGACTCAACTGCTGGTCAGATTTGGTTCAGGGATGTTCAGGGGTTTCCCATCCCCAAATGGATGGCTGATTGGTGGTTTGATGGCTGATTGGTGGTTTGGAACATGAATTTTATGACTTTCCATTCAGTTGGGGATTTCATAAGCCCAACTGACGAAGTCAGATTTTTCAGAGGGGTAGGTATACCACCAACCAGAACGGTCTCTGACGAATTTGAATCCAACATTTCACCAGGACCCCGCTGCTACGACCTCGGCTGCAACGGCTCCGAGAGGCAGCATGGGTTTTACCGCGGTGGCCGGAGGATTCAGTGGTGAAACGGTTAAAGCAAGATATGTTCAGAGGATACATGAACAGCACAGCTGGACAGCTGGATGGTGGTTTCATCATGTTTAATCTATAGTTAATGGTAGTTTTCTCCATTTCCATCACAAGAAATGAGGTGATGATCCATATCCCAACATTGCTGTGATTGTGACGAATCACCAACCGTTTCGACCAGAAATCTGCAGAATTTGCTTCAACTTTAGCCATGTTTTTCCTTTGGAGCAATTTTTTCCTTTGGAAGTTCAGGATGTGAACTGCAGTCCAGCTTACTAGATGGTGCCAGCTTGTCAGATATCATTTAAATTCATTTAATATTTGATGATATTTGGCAAGTGGTTGAAATGCGACAGATTCCAATGGCCCTCCCCGGTCCATTCGTATCCCCATGGTATGGCCCAAGAGCAGGCAGAAATTATGCTGGGCGTAGTCTCGAAGAGCACGGAGCAAACGGTGTCCACTGCTCTCCAAGAGACAGGAGACCATGCGGCCATGCGGCTGGTGGCATCGGTTGAACAATTTTGTGATCCAGTGGTTTTAGATGGCTTTCCAAGTATTTTTGTATCATTTCGTGGCATTTTGTGGCATTTTACCTGGGATGATGTATATTGTAATTGGTTCAAAGTTCAACCCACCAAGCAGCAAAATACTATGTACATTTACAATGATGACAGTCAATCTATGGGATTGTTGGTGCAAATGTCGTATTCACATGTATTCACAGCAACCTTGCACCTCCAAAAGTTTGGAGTCAGAGAGACCAACCAACTTCAAGTGGGTAAAGGATGGTAAAGGTATGTAAAGGTGCTGTAGTTCTGATATGTTTTGATCACCGTGGTACATGTTCTCATGGAATTTGCGCTTGCATCAGGGCTCATGGAATTTTTCAACGGACCCATTGTCGGAAAGGCCAGGGCCAGGACCCAGTGTCACTTGATGTCACTTGACATGTTTGGCAGACGGACGAGGATGCATTGGCGCCACAATTTTCTTGTGCCAGCATTTACTAGCCTGACCTGCACATCCGAATAGATAGTATAGATAGTTATACTAGTATAATTTATGAATTATTTTATGAATTCATTGATGTTAGCTGATGTCAATTAGTAATGAGGTTTGCAATGCTTTCAATCAGAGCACGACTCTCCGGAACTTGCGGAGCGCAGGCTGCACAGTTAGATGGCAAAGCTGGAATAATCCAAGCCCTGTTTGAAGAGGGTGGCACTCTTGCTCATTTAGGCCTGGGATGGCCTGGGTGATCCTGGGTGGAGATGTCAGGATGTGAACATCTGACAGAAATAGCGCTAAGAGTATGTTTGAGCTCCATTTCTGACCAAGGAATAGACATCATGAAGGGCATAGCTATGTGTCCAGACCTTTTTAAAAAGAGTAATTCTTATAGTGGTATTCATGTTCAAAAATTGTCACAATGCACTTCCGCACCCAAATTAAATGATGAGTGGAAGCAGTTTGGGCCAAAACAGGGTGATGCAAACTGGGATACCGCTGGGTCTTAAGCTCTGACTCATACCTAAATGGACCCCATGTATCAATGGCTAAATACACAGTTTGCATTTGTAAACCATTCTGGTTTGCTGATGGCCAAACAGGCAGGTTTCTCCAGCAATATGTACTATAGACCCAGTCAACTACAGGAGTAAATGCATGTAAATGCCCTTACAAAACGGCCTTACTTAAAACGGCCTCAACAGAAAAACCATTCGACAAAGGCTTCAACAGACAGTTCAACACAATCTCGACACCGAGACCGATGTCATTTGACCATCTCTTTGAAGGCTCTGAGGCTTGGGAAAAGGCGCTGCTGATCGACGATGACATCTCGGAGTCGAGTCGGGAATGTGTGGTGTCTTATAGGGCCGTTCTGCACTTCGAGGTCGTGGACATTATATAATAATAATATAATCATTATATATACCCTCTGGTAAACTAACATAGCTATTGAAAATGGATTGAACATGGCCATTTATAGTGGATTTTCCCATGAAAAATGGTGATTTTCCATAGTTATGTTAGTTTACCAGAGGGTAATCATTATATATATATATATTATTACTGGGACATGTTCAAACTTAATGTAAGATGATTCAACTTAGGGGAGGAAACGTGCTGCCAATACTACCCATAGCAGATTTCAAATCTTGTAAAATGACACATTGGACATGATTGATTTAGCAAGTGCTATTGCATTAGTAACAAAACGCTCTCTCTCTCTCTCTCCATATATATATATATATATGCATATCATTTGATTATCATCATCATATGTAGAAACATCATTTGATTATATATCATCATATATATGCATAATATATATATATATACGTATCCATATACACATATATATATATATTATCATATATCCATATGTAGAAACATTCTATCCATATGCTTGGTAGTTGTGCTGGCGCAGGAGCTTGTTTGGGCTCGTGACATCGGCATGCAGACCTTCGCAGCTCCAGCGCAGGCACGGCAGCTATCCCAGCGATATTTTTTGGGCTTCGTGGTAGAGGTGTATAAGATTGTATAAATAAAAGGTAGGAAAGATATGGAAAGATATGGAAAGATATGGAAAGATATGGAAAGATATGGAAAGATATGGAAAGATATGGAAAGATATGGAAAGATATGGAAAGATATGGAAAGATCTATTCTGAAAACTTCTCTTAGAATGACCCGAATGACCTGCATTGCACATATTTGCTTAGTTTTTGTTTCATCATTTGATTTTGCCGGTCGAGTGTTGGCCGGATCTTCTTGAAGCACCAGGGGGGCTTACAAGCAGATGACTTCCAAGAGCTCTTCCGATCCTTGGGCTTAGAAGGGGAGCAGTGTCTTGGCAGAAGATGTTGTCTGGGAACTGGGCTTCCAGGACTGACAGTTTGCTTTGGACATATTTAATGAGTCAACCAACCAACCAACCAACCAACCAACCAACCAACCAACCAACCAACCAACCAACCAACCAACCAACCAACCACTCAAGTAATCAACCCACCAATCAACCCACTAATCAATCAACCATTCAACCAACCAGTGAAAGCCACTCAACTTCTGATTCTACAAATCCATGGTTGAATTTTGAGGCCCCGGATCCCCCATGGATCCCCCATGGATCCCCCATTTCCGCATTCCGCGAGGTCACAGGAGGATCCATCGATGGATCCAATGACTCCATTGGCGCAGCCCCGCACGGGCCGTCGCGGCAGACCACCGGTACGGCTGGAAGAGATCACCCTCGAGTGGCTCGGAGAAAAAAAAAAAATTGGGCCCCAAAAAATCTCCCCCAGTGAGGTCAGTCAGGATCAGATGTTCAGAAAAAACTTGGGACGGGACAATTCATGAGAATTCATGACAATTCATTTTCTGAAAATTCTGCAGAAGAGAGATCAGCTACTGCACTATAGATCACTATATCATATTTCAATATATTTCAATCATCCCAAAATGCCACAAGGCCCAACAGCAAAGAGACATCCAAACATAGCGTCCTTGCCTTTTCAGGGACGAGTGCATTCGCAGCCTTTGGACTCAGGCGCAGAGATTTCTGATGATTTCTGGCGGGCAGATGTATCGCCTTTTCGATATCCTTTTCGGACTGTTTGGTTGATGACTTGATGGGGTACCATGTACTGTAGTCATCTGTAGTTAAAAAAATATGATAAGATATTGCCATTGAACAGCCGATGGGTTCATAGTAGCGACGGACCCCTTGTATTTCTGAAATGGATATCATTGTTGGATATTGTTGGCACCTGTTTATCTCAAGGCCAGCAATTTTCATGAGTGGTGCTTGTGCAGGGCCTTGTTGGACAGAAATTGGGCTTGCAGACGGATGTGGCACAGAAGCAGTACAGCAAGGCAGGTGTGATGGCTGACACCAAGGTTTCGTTTGTTCAATGATTTTCGGGTGTGTGGAAACAAAGCCTCAAAAGCTGTGACACAAAAAGCCCATGCTCCTTTGCGACTCAGTATCTCAGGAGGTGGGCTGAAGATGATGTGTAGCTAGGGTAACTAGGAGTTTCCATGACCATCATGACCGTCAGGAGGAATCCGCTCCAAAGATTGTTGACTACTATGATGTGACGGAGGCGCGGCTTGCTGCGCACTGCTGACTGGGTGATACATCAATGAATAGTAATAATTATGGGTGTTTATACATATGCTCACGCCACCTGCATACATGATCATACATGTATATTACTGTATATATATATATACATACACACTGTATATATATAATATATATATATATGCGTTACGACATATGTACACATACATATTCACATACATGTATACAGACATACAGATATACAGACATACAGACATACAGACATACAGGCATACAGGCAGACATACAGACAGGCAGACAGACAGCCATACACGCACACACACATATATATACACATTATAATTAATTATAGTTATATAATCATATATATATATATGCACGGGCCTGCATCATGCATATGAGCAAATTATGCATACCCGCATGCGCACACAACATACCAACCATTATCAACCAATGGGAGGAGGTATGAGATCAGCCGGCGACAGGAACTTGGACAAGGCTCTTTTGGAACTGCCTATGTTGGCCACTACCGCTCCAGTGGCATGCAATGTGCTGTGCCCTGGCAAGCAGTGACTGCTTTCCAGGATCCCAGGTAAGAACGGCTGCTTGCCCTACTGGCTTTGAAACACCCCGACCTTTCAGTACACCCACCCTTCGTTGAATTTGAGGTGAAGCTGCTTGACAGAGAGCACGTTGGACAGCAACTGGTCCACGTTTCGACTGGGGAACAATTCTGGTACATGCCATGCCATGCTGCAGAACCCCCTGAAAGGCTCGTTTGAATCGTTTGGCTTTATATGGATCGTTTTATTTTTTTCGTGGATTGTTTGCCTAAAACAAACATGCTTTCAGGCAGAATCTCTATTGAGCTTAAACACATCCAATTACCCGCAAAATCTGCATTATACATCTATAAATATTCCTTCTATGACCTTTGGCATTGCCAGACAGAGAAGAGTGTCAATATGCTTTGGCAAGCAGACATTCTTCACTAGGAACCTGCATTGATGCCCTGCTAGTGCCTCAGCTTCATGACGTTTTTCCTTCTCACTCAGGCACTATCACAAAAACTTTGTGGAGCGTGACACTATATCGCTTCTTCTTCAGATGCCAGCTGCCTAATTAGCATGTGTGCACGTTTCTCTCAAATGCCACTTTGTAGTGCATGTTTGCCTTAATGCTGAAAGGTTGGTCAAAATTATAGACCACCAAAATAATGGAGGCTGAACTAGTTGCTACCATATTGTTGCCGCCATTTTTGATCCATTCCCAAACTACCCGAACTTGGCTGAATCGCTGGGTTAATTATTTGGCAGTGCAAAATTGCAGGACGCCCAGGTCAAAATGACTGTAAATTGTCATAATCATTCTTCCTCAAACAAATTAGAAAAAGGGTAAAACAATGTCAAAAACCACCCATGACTGAGAATGGTAACCATACCACCTATTTAAATGGTGATTTTTGGGGGGATGGTTTATGGCATTGTTTTACCCTACAAAAAATCACTGGACCAAGGGCCAGAGAGTCTCCCAACCCACATGTGGTACAACTCCTGGACTCACTCATGAGCGATGCGCATCTTGGAGCGGAGCTGGAGGGGGATAAAAGCCAGGGGTTTGATCAATTTAGAAATTTCGACTGTAATATAATAGTATATATAATATATAGTATCTATATGATATATATATATATAGCATAATAATATATATATATATAATATAGTATATAATATATATATAGTACATAATGTATATATTATAGAATATGTATATATATATATAGTATAATATAAATATATATATATGTATATAACATAAAATGCATATGTATATATATATATATACATATATTAGATATGTTACTAATGTAAATACATACATGATCATACATGTACATACGCTGCTACAGGGTATGCAATATCTATTGGCGGACTTTATAGAGGTATGTGCAGTAAGTGGTCAGGAAATATGTAAATATTAAAAATCAAGCAGACAGGCACATTTTTTTTTGAAGAATCACGACTCAAGACGTGTTCATTTGGCCTTGTCAAAATCCAAAAAAAAATAAACCATTTGAATATTATTTGGCAGTTTCTGGGATGCTTACATATGACATCATGACTGGCCTTTTGGCCATGCTGGCAGGTGCTGTTTTTCGCTGTGCACAGTTTCCCTTCGATCCATCAGAGCTAAATAACCCAACATGCTAATTACTCGCCTCCCACTAAAGCCGGGTGCACTTGGTTGGTACTAAAAGAAATGCAAGGTGCCCTTGTATATCTTCATGAATTACCCTGCAGTCCCGCTGAGAGACACTGTGCCTTCCAGAGCACAAGGCATTTCTTTGTTGTCATGGAACTACTTGAAGGCGGGTGTGACATGGCTGGGCCCAGAATGTGTCATGGCTTCCATATAATTACTTTGTTTGCACAATTAGGTGGTAGGTTGCAAAGATGTTACCCAGAGATATGGGGCGCTAGCCTTTAGCCGCATGATTGCGGATTGAGCAAAAAAAATATGTGTACAAGTGGTTGGTACTATATTGGTGATTTCTTAACCAATGGTTTCATTTTCGATTCTACCTCTCTTACCCTATAATTGGGGAAGCGGTGCCATTAACCACCAACAGTCGCGGCATGTCGCGGCGCCAGGGCCAGACCTGTTCGAGCACCTGACGAGCTACGGCCCGGGCGTCTCTTTGATGCTTGACGAGAATTATGATCATAGATGTCCTTTTCCCAGTGGTTGGTTGATTAATAGTGGTTGGTTGATTAATAGAGGGGTTAGTTTACCCCTTTAACAACAGGTAAATGATGATAGATGGTATACCAAACCGGCCCCCCTATTTTTATGATGATCATCCACTGGAGTACCCACCCGATGTTGTCCGATAGGGCGCCGCGAATGTGGTTAAAACAATAATAAACCAGGAATGGGACAAAACCACCCATTTAGGGTGATTTGGGGTGTGGTTTACTATTGTTTTAACCACATTACTTCTTGATCTTCTGCTAGAGGAACATATATTGAAGCATCTTGTGGCAGTGAAGGTCTACAAAGTCTACAGGTCAACTTTGTTCAGCAATTGTGGTTTTGATTGTTTTGATCGCCTGAGGACAGAAGAACATGCCCGGTTTATCATGCAGAATTCGCTGTCGGTCGCTTGATGGAGCTTTAGTTTTCTGATCCTCCTGCTGGAAAGACGATTCCGCCAGAGTGAGCTGCGCTAAACTGCTCTTGATTTGCGTGGATCTTGCCATAGAATATAAAATGCTAACAGTTTTTTCCCTTGAAGCCTTTTGGCGTTAACCTGCAGACCCCACACGCTTTCAAAAGTTTCTCTACGAGAACCTCCAAGCCCTCAAGGCTCTAGCTCACATCCACTCAACCTGTGGCGTGGGCATAATTCACCGTGATGTGAAGCCGGTGGCTTGGATGGAACATATGGAACTGGCGCGGAGTCTGGCGGAGTCTTGTTGATGACAGGAGGTTTCAGCAGAGATGCTATTCACAACCGGCACAGCAGCCAGGTTTTGTGGCTTTCCCGTGGTGATCATGGTGTAAAAGTCTCTCCCAAACCTCGCCAAAAGGCATTTTCTAGCCTCAGGAGAATCTACGTTTTCGGAGCAAAGATCCAGATTCTGTCGCTGGCCTCAAGTCGGGACAGACAGTCACCCCGCATGGTGGGGTTTTCTTGAAATAGATATATATATATATATCAATTATATATGTATGGTTCTATAATGTTATTCGCATACAGTATATATAATTAGATAGATAGACAGATAGATAGATAGATAGATAGGTAGGTAGGTAGGTAGATAGATGGGTAGATAGATCGATAGATAGATAGATAGATAGACAGACAGACAGATAGATAGATAGATATTTTTTTTTAAACACACACACATATATATAAATATATATAAATATATATATATATAAATATATATATATAAATAAATATATATATATATAAATATAAATATATATATAGAACGATATTTAATGTATGTTGTGCATTTTGGAAATCTCCCTTGGTTTTCATTGTTTTGCGAAGCCGAGGAATTGGTTCTGGTTGATTTTGGGCTGTGTTGCCCTGCATCTGACGCGGAGCGGAGAACCATTGCCGGAGCCTTAACGATCTCAACGGACGGAGTGGAAGATGCCCAGTTCCTGGGAACCGCAGCTGAGGTCGGTTCCTTGCTGTATGTGGCTCCGGAGGTCTTCTCCCGACGTTATGATGCCAAGGTTGGCACCGAAAAGACCGAAAAGACAGAGCTCCGAAATCTCCGAACAACCCTTTTGCTGTATGATCTGCATGGGGAAAATGGATGAAAATTGAGGAGGAGTACCCCTGGTAGCATTTGGTAGCAACCCACTCGCTCATTCTGGCGCATACCAAGAGGAATACCGTGCAGTTGACCATCCACCCCCACAGTATCCAGTCTCTGGGATGTTGGGAGCGTCCCGATGAGGCTGACCTATGGTCGATTGGTGTAGTCATGTACATTCTCCTCACCGGCCGTCCGCCCTGGAAGCAGAATCTCAACGTGGGCTTTGTGCCCAGCAAAAAGGTTTTGAATGGACCCCCGGTTGCAATAATGTGAGTTGTGGTTTTGTCTGAAAATAAGGGCTGCCCCAATGATCCTCAAAAAATAGCAATGAGGTTTTCACAATCATTTCACACCCTTGGATTCTTGAGTGTTTTAGTAGACAGATCCATGTCGTCATGATAGATGTTGGACCTCAACGCCGCAGCTGACACGACGTCAGGTGAAGCTGCCCAAGCTGCCTTGAATGCCAAGGCCAGGCCTAGCTTTGGCCGCTCACAGTGACCTTCTAAGAAGTTGGGGAGAAAAACTAGACTCTCCCATTGTGAAAGGTCCGGTGCACATGCATCCTTCCATGTTCAAAAATGTTCCCATTTTGGCGGTTGAACATTATATTTAACAATGTACATTCTCATATATGTTCATCCATTTTTCCATATGTTTCCCATATATTTTGGTGCTTTAACCATGTTGAACATGGCCTTTTGCTTGGAAACGTGGCCAGCAACTCGCTGCGGTAAACCCCGCAGCGCTTCGCAGGAACTGGAAGAGACACCAGCGGCCTTAGAGTTGCTGAGAGGAGTGGCAAATTTGGGCATTGATCGATGGGTAATCCCGACCTCCAGGTGTTGATTTTTTTTTGGGGGGGAAGGTTTATTCAACAGGGGGAAGGGCCCCCAGAAAGTGAATGGAAATGAAGAGTTTGGCATAGTTCGACCCTGGCAGATAGGGTTTGGAAGATGAGTTAAACCACTCAACATTTGGGTGATTTTCAGGGTTGAACTGTGAATTTACCGGAGGGTCATATAAATGGAAATCATATGAACCAATGGGAATCTGGGAGAATAGGATCCGATGATCGTATCCAGTGGCGCTTGGAAATCCCCATCAACAATGGAGGTTTGAGAAAAATCATCTACCCGGCCTGGTAAACGTTTACAAAAAACTATGGAAAATCTCCATGGTTCATGGGAAAATCCACTATTTCTATGGCCATTTTCAATATAGCTTTTTGTATGTTTACCAGATGGTATAAATGGTAATCATCCCCATTCCCCATCTATAAATTGTGGCTTTTCCAGCCATGGTTTTTCTTACCGCTAGCGGCCTGTCACATCTGTCACCAGCTGCTGCAGGGCTTCTCGTCACCAATCCAGAGAGCCGTCTCAGCGCAAAAGCAGCGCTCCAGTGCCGGGCCCTGAGAGCCTTTGAAGGCCACATCCAGATATGATTCAGATATATCCATCCATAAATTGACAACACATATAACATAATATTTACATATATATATATATTTACTTACATATATTTGCATATATTTACATATGTTTACATATATCATATATTTACAACATGATATGAGTATCATTTAATTATCAGTGGACACCCATATAGAAAAACAATAAGAGTTCAACAGTTCAACACGCCCAGGTCGTTGGCTTGGCGTGCCTCGGAGCAGACAGGATTTGTCATTTTTGATTTGACCAAAAAATAAGGGTACTAAAAGTGAGAAATGCCAATGAGTACAAGTTAGTTGATGTTAGTTGAGTTATATCACTTTTTTGGGAGGAAATATTTGATTAAGGACATCTAAGGACTAGCTTAGACTATAAGCACCTAATAAATGAAATACGTGGATACAACATGACCAAGAATCTAGCAATGTGTTCAACTCTTTGACTCTTGTATGTATGTTTTTTTTTGGGGGCTTGCATCCAGCAACTGGGTGATTGGTATTGATATTTATATATATATGCATACGTATTTCTGGCATTGTCTGGTGGAACAAGCCTAGAGAACCGAGATGTTTTCAGCATGTCTTGATCTGTGATATCTGTGGATCCCCAGATGCACAGCCCTTCCAGCAATGGTACAAACTGCACCTTCCCCACCATTTAACTCATGACTCATGATACTCATGTTTGTTGCAAATAAGTTTCACAAGGTCAGCTGAGTCAGCTGATGGTTCACTGTGCATGCCTTTCCGATCTGCCTGGCCAAGACAAGTCCAGCCGCAATAGAGCAAGAAGCTTCACCAAAGCCAGGAACTCAGAGAGTAAAGAATAGCAAATCAGTTCTTGCTGAAGTATCGTAGCTTATTGTAGCAGGTGTCCAAACCGGCTTCTTGTTGCTGAGCATGGGCCGGCACTGCAGGCTTTTGTCTGCAAACAGCTTGTCATTCTGCTCTACTTCGAAATATAGCCACCGCACACCAAAGAAGGCAACATTTTCGGAAGTCGCCAGCGTCGTGAGTGTTGGTTGGGTTTGTCTTAAAATGAGGCGACCGATGGTAACCCCCCAATTCCAAAGGTTTAGCATCATTTTTCCGAAATATAGACATAACAAAATAATACTATACAATACTGTACAAATCAAAGATCAAGTATAAATACAGTGTGCTATATAATCCATCAATCAAGGTTTGGACAAACCAGTTTCTGGGATGAATCTTGCCTGCTGCCATGTTGGACACGCCCAATGCCGTGCTTCAAAAAAAAACGTTGAGTGGCCACAGGTCGCTCAGGCGGATGACGACCCGGAAGAGGATGAGATCCAGGCATCCCTACAGCTCCTATAACGTCGGAACCCTGCAAGGTCACTAGAAATGATGGTTATGATTGGGGGAACTATCCCAAAATGGCGGAACTCTTCAAGTTGGTTAATGTCAATCCCCTCGCATAAAATGGCCCCTACTAGACCCGCTGGTCCACAACACAGAAAACACCAGGTAACTGTATCATCGACAGCCAGAACGAAGTTGACTTTCTGGGGTAGAGGATTGCCATACAAAGCCCTCAAAATTTGTTCTGAGACGTCAGTGTTTATTCTTGTCGGTTTGGCAGGACAAGGCCCCAGAATACGAGCTGCCGGAGCCTCTAGATACATGGCTTGAGGCTTCAGTGCATTGAGATATGATTTATGGGATGATATGGGTAGGGCTCAAACCTCAGTTTTCACGTCAAACAGCTGGTAGTTATGGATGTTGGAACTTCCCCCTAAAAAGATCTAAAAGATGTCCACTAGGTATTGATCCACATTCCCGTACGTACGAAAGGACTAGCACAGGATTGCCTGTCCGTTTTAAAACCCCCTTGCAATAATTATGGAAAACCACGACATAGGGGCTGGCATTGGAATTTCCCGTTTCCTAAAACATCCCCCCCGCAGAAACTTAGGAAACCCAGGCCACCGATGAGCCGGGATTTCAATTGCGCGGAAAACATGATGGCAAAAAACGGGAAGAGTCCTAGCCCTTCAGACGTGGCAAATTACAGTAACCGTGCTGCTGAACTCAGCTATTGTGGCGTTTAACGGATGTTTCTGAATCATCCTGAATTCTCGTTGATGCATTTTCAGCTTTTGACCGCACTAGCCGCGTTCGCTTGAATTTGTGAGCAGCTTATAAGCATAGCAGATTTCAATGATATGGGGGCACACACGGGCAGACTTTTTCCACTTGTTGAAGTCAACTCCAGCCGTACAGAAGCTATCCCAAAAAGGGAAGCACCAGGCTTGCATTCAGAGATTCAATGGCTCTTGGGGGCCAAAGGCCTCCAACATGGGCCTGGCTTGGGGCTCTAACAACTTGCTCCAAAATTCATGGTTTCGATTTGTGCACGAAGAATTCACTTTGGATTTGACAACTCTTTGGATTTTTGAGTTCCGTCATGGCTCTGGAAGCTGAAAGCGGCCAAGTTGTTCCATCGAAAACCGCACTGAACCAGACGGAACTTGTGATTTTGATTCGTCAAGCCGGCTTGAAGTGCATTTCTGGCTTTCTAGTTGCAACTATAACCTTGCTGCAGGGTCAGTCGACACTTCGCTGGCTGTGAACTTCGAATCTGGGACGAACTTGTGAGGGCATGAAAATCTATGAAACTAATACTGTATGAAGTATGAAAAGCCATGTTTGTGTCCTCCATTTCTCAACCAGACATTTAACACTTGAGACAACTTGAGATGTTCATGACTTTTTTCTCGCTTTTCCTTCCTCTCACAGATTGTGCAGTACATGCACTTGGGTTGTCCTTGGTCCCTTGCTGCAAGTAGCCGTCCCGGGTGGAAGAATTCCAATGCACCTGCGAGAGATTTCGCCGACAGCTTTGCCTAGACAGCTTTGCCGGTGACAAACGTGTCAGTAACTGGAGATGGCCCCATGGTGTATGGTATGGCCATGGGATCATCAGAGGTTTCCATGGAGGTTCTGTGGGTTCATGCCCAAGGCCAGGATAGAGCTCCCAGTGGAAACCATGGATAAACATGGGTAAACCATCAGAAACCAGCATAAACCATCATATTATCAACGTTTATCAACCATCATAAATCATAAACCAACCATATATAACCATAGTGTCATATGGCTAAACCATGAACCCCTCCCAGGGTGAACCATCCGCCACGGCCAAAAACCGCCTCGCCACGGCGCTCGCCAGGCCGGCTTTGCGAAGGTGATGCCCAAGGGCGTCTTGCGACACGAGGCCAACACCAACTACGTGCTGACTCTTCACCTGATTTTGGAGCTCCTTGGAAGCATTTGAAAGCGGCAAACGGAAAAAAAATAGATGTTATAGGATGTTAGTTTGGACCTGGAACAACTAATAGTGACATAGATTATGACAGATTGACATAGATTGACATAGTGAAGATCTATTTGTGGCTATGCTTTTGGAATGTCGAAGGCTGAAGGGCGAAGGGTAGCATTTGAATTTTATCAATAGCCCTGCCATTGCCAACACCTCTCGGCATTTTTTCCCAAAAGTTGCCTGTAAGGCTGCAACGGCTTTGACCATCAACATGTCATAGTGGCAGCAGATGTATGTGGATGCATTCTCGCAGTCATCAGAAGTATTGTGCTTGCCACATGACACGTGCATTTTACATTGACAGATTCATGAGTTGCTTACACATTAAATATAGTTATGTTTTTATCCAAAAAAAACGAATGCGTCAACTTCAACCATTTACTGCAGATTATGTTTCGCTGTCCGAGCCCCAGGCTGAGAACTCCTGGCGGCCAGTATGTCGCCCACGCCTGGGGGACTCAGTTGGCAAATTGCTTGGAGTATGTTGGAGTCGTGCCAAAAAACCGCCGTACACCCCATTTTTGCCCATACATTTTCTGCAGGAGACTCAGCAATTTGGATATTTTGGATCAGCATGTCAGAACACAGATGACAAAGCGAGAGCTGCAGATTGGGGAGCAAAGCCGTAGCTTGGAAGAAGGCCAAGGGCTTCAGGGACTTGGCGTTGGTCGGTGAAAGGACTACATGCCAGGGCAATTTGGGCAAATCACAGCCAAAATGAACAAGTCATGACTGCTTGCAGATCCTGTAGGCTCGCATGCAAGGCACGCATATTCGGAAGGTGGTGCCACATGCCGGACTGCCAGGCGTGTTCGTTTTCGACCCGAGCTATGCCCATTGGATTGAGAACACTTCAGAGGCCTCAAGAAGTTCCTGTGACATCAGCGCTACTAGCCTGCCTTGATTGGGTTATTTGGGTCTATTTCTCACTGATCGATGTATTTGGAGTCCCGGCGCAGGCTGAGATGCTGATCTTTTATTGCCACTTCTACCATCCAGAGATTTCAGAGGCGTGTGGCAGTATGGGCAGGACCTCATAGGAAACGCAGAGTTCAACATGCTTTGGCTCAGTTCTTTTCATTTCTATATAACGTACTATATATTATGTATATATGTGTTTTTTTACCTACCGGTATTTATCAAAAATGTTGACGAACAAATGATGGCTGACTTTTTGATGAACAGCAGTACATTTGGGAGTTTCCGAAAATAGGGGTACTCCAAATCATCCAAAATTCGACCCATGGATTTCGTATGAATTGAGAGCCATTGTTTTGGGGATCCACCATGTTAGGAAACCCCCATTTAGTAACATGTATCACACGTACGTTGCTGGATCCAAGACGCTGCCCTGTGCTTGGTCACCCATGGTCATGCCGTAGGTGGAACGCTATGCGCTGTTGCTGTTGGCGCAATTGATGGAGATGCTTCAGAGCAGCGGTGTGGCCAGAATGCTCAGTTGAGACATGGCTGGTTGCACTGGTTGCAGGGTGTGAATTTCATCCCCAAAATTAATATCTATTACTCTTTAAGGTGATTTCCTGTGGATTTTTTGAAGGGATCTTGTGGTGAATCTTACATGGGTATGATATGATACAACCATCAACAGGGGCTTAACTATCACAAGTGTCACAAGTGGGTGTTGATCTCATCCCCTAATTAAATACCTCCATATGGGCCCCCAATTCATGAATAGGTGCAATACGGTGCAATCCTTAACCAGGGTTTGGGTTGGGGGTGTTCGGGACGGGGGACAGTACTATCACAATGGAATAACGGAGAAGCAACTGTCATGATGGAAAACACTTGACTATACTTGCACGCAACAACGGATGAGCCAATATGAGCCACTGGTTTTCACCGAAAGATGAGTGATGGCAGTGATGGATGGATAGATATCAATATACATCCAGGAACCTCCAGGATGCACATGGTTGGACTGGCTGGTTTCACTGCACTGGGTCCCCAGGCAGACCGGTCATTTTGGACCACTGCTGAATGAGCATATCATTGGCAATGTCAGTGGTTGTTTCAATCATTCTTATACATTCCATCCCTATGAATGGGATGGTGATGATGATGATGATGATGATGATGATGATGATGGTGATGACGACGACGACGACGACACCAATGATGATGACGATGATGATGATTCCAAATGATGATTCCAAATAATGATTCCAAATGATGATTCCGAATGATTCCAACATTGACTTGCATCTTTTAGGGATCAATATGTGGCTCAACCACCACCCAACCTCCCTGGATACTAAGTGACGCAATTTCATCCACTCGGCCTGGCGAAACATTGATGACAGGGAGATGCTTGAACACCTCCAAGAAACATCAAGATATATACCCATTCATCCCATTCTTTTTGCCATTTTCCCCCATCAAAATCATTCAACATACAGGTTTTCCTGTGATTTTTCCCTTCAACCAAGGTCAGAAGCGCTACACTGGCGCCGGCTGCAGAGAACGTGTGTGCCTTAGTGCTTGCGGAGAACAGGACATTGTGGGAATGCGCTATTGAAGGGGCGTGCAAAGTAGTGAGGATATGTGAGGATGAGGGTTTCAATACGTTTCAAGCTGGTTCTATGAGCGCTATATGTTTAGGGTATATCTGATATATCTGTATAGCATTAATTACTGATATTGTGTCAATATGTGTCATTCTGTTGATACCTGATCTAAAGGTCTAAAACATTCTTTTAGGTGGTGAGATCTAGCCCATTCTTTTGTAACGTTCCTTCTCACTGTTTGGAAGTTGGCTGTTTCTGGCGCAGGTCGCAAGACCTGTGAGCACTGTCGCGTAACCTGCGTGGTTGCCACTTGCTCGAAGGAAGATGAAAATGGCCCGTTGTGACCGTTCTCGGTGGTTGTCAGTATCAAGACTTGCAACAGACTAAGACCTACCCTCTGGTAAACTAACATAGCTATGGAACATGGCCCATTTATAGTGAATTTTCCATGAAAAATGGTGATTTTCCATAGTTATGTTAGTTTCCCAGAGGGTAACATCCACCGAAATTGGCCGCTATGACATGAGTCTCATGACTTCCTACTGTGCGAGCCGGGGCCACCTGCCGTGGCCACGAATAGCTTCACATTCGAGCTGCTTGATGCTGGTTGATACTGGTTGGTCGTTTCCTTCATAATCTTTTTCAACTGTTTCCTCCAAAAAATCGGATGTTCTTCGTAACTTTTTCCATTAGCACATGTTAGCAGCTTCGGAGAAGGGAAACACTATATGAAACACTTCTTCATGATCTTCATGATCTTCATGAGTTATGTCACTATGACTGGCTATGACTGGCTTGTGGTTTTAATTCTGTTTGAAGCCTTCCCGGATCATCGACCATCAGCCATCGAACGCTGTCAAGTCTCGAGACGTCTCGTCCCACTAGGCTTAGAAAATCAGACCCAGAAGGCCCACAAGGAAAGAAATACAGTAGTAGAACCGAACAAACCAGTTGAACTATTTAGGGCTCTGAATACTGTACAGAATCAGACATACAGTGATTGACATTGATTGACTTCAATGAACTCCTTTCTTGTAGAGATTTGGCATGTACATGTACTGAGGGTATTTGGCCTGTGTTTGTTGCAGCGATACTTCAGTTGATCGCGGATAGGTCCCATGATCTGGTGCCATGGCCCTTGATCATGTCAGAGGACGTTTGAAATTCAGAAAAGCGGTGTTGGAATTTCAAGGCGGTTTTATCATGTTTTATCATGTTTTATCTCAATCTCCTGCAATTTTGCATGCCAACAGTTGGACAGAGACACTCATACTGACATACTGATTGAATCTGTTTGAAGTATATTCTGCTCATATCTCAACTTGATGACTTGGGGGCAAGTTTAGACATGGGATCCAAGTCTGTCAGGAGCCTCCACCTCTCCCACCTCCGTTGCAGCCTCCTCCTCCTGAGGACTTCCGGTATCTTCCGGTAATCTCCGGCCAGACTTTGGATATCTTTGGATGACAACCCCATAGGATCCATGTATGGTATATATATACTAACATTGGGGGTATATTGATGGTAAATGTTACCATATATATCATACATGGATCCTATGGGAACTGGATGACATTTGTCAAATTTCTTTCTTGGGTACTCCAGGAGCCTGTGGCGACCTCCTTTGCCAGCGCTCCTTCACGGCCTGCAGCATTTCTGGTGCAGAGTCTTGGCTCCTTTGGAAGTCCCCCCATAATGAACTAACTAATGTGCATGCTACCCTCTGGTAATTTAACATAGCTATTGAAAATGGCCATTTATAGTGGATTTTCCCATTAAAAATGGTGATTGTCCATAGTTATGTTAGTTTACCAGAGGCTATATCTTTTCTATATCTTTTCTGCAATGAACTTAGAAGTTGAACTTGGCCTTTATCAAATGCTGGGAGCATTTGGGAGCTGAAAAGTAACTCTTGACGGACGAAAGATGAAGAGGCCAAGGTTACTCCTCCCGCTTCACCACTGCGGTTCGCACACCCGAGTTGCCCAAATCTTGCCCAAGCAGAAGTTGAAGGGCAAATTATGGTACCATCTGGTTATTTAACATAGCCATGGAAAATCACTATATTCAATAGGTAAACCATCTATAAATGGGCCATTTTCCATGGCTATGTTAAATAACCAAAGGGTAATCATTATGGAACAAAGACTTTTCTGATGGCGGTCGCTCTTTGTGTCAGTCGATGTTGCTGATATTCAATGTGCACTCCTCTTGACACGGACATTGTGGCTGAAAATGCATACGGCCTATAGGTCTCCACAGACACGTCATGAGTCATGAACACTGTTGTGGCCACCTAGGAATGCCTTGCGGCCGGAGCCAGGAACTCAGGGTGGTCACCAGCATCATTATCATCATCCTCATCCTCATCCTCGTTTTCATATGTGTTCATAGTCCTGAGCATGGTTCTGGTATGTTCTGGTTAACATCAACATCAACAACTGCAACAGCAACTGCAACAACAACCACAACAACAACCACAACAAGAGGAGCAAGAGCAAGAGCAAGAGCAAGAAGAAGAACACGCACAATATTTCAACATGATCAATATCGATCAATATCGCCAATCCGTGGCCGTACAAGACCGGAATACGCTCGGGCAAACTGGTATAGGACCTGGAGAGTATGATTTAGAAGGAGGGTATTCACGGTATTGTCTTGAAGCAGAATGTCATAAGAGACAGCAGATTTCACAAAATATCATCGTAAACACATGTGCATAGTTGCTATGGTTGCCGTATATGTTGCCTAAGATGGTTTCACTCCTGGCTTGCGGCCGACGCTTGTCATGGTCCCGGCCAAAGGTGCAGCGTGGATTTTCCACAGATCACAGAGATCTGCGAGAGGTGTGATTTGCAAATCTTGTGTCTGGATGTGTCTGGTGTTTTTTTTCTCGAAGCGGAGGTCAATCAGAACTGAGTTTCTGAAGATGTGCAGAGATTCCACTTTAGATCCAATGGATAATGGATAGTGGATTCGGATAGGGAGTGATGACCTAACTTTCGGAGACCCCAGACCAATGAAATCCAGCAGGTTGGAGATGCAGCCCTCCGAGCTCAAAGATGCAGTAGCCGTGTTGGCTGCAGCCCTTCGTGAGCAGAGGCGAACCTTGAAGTAAGTTTTTTTTTGCTGCCTGATAGATCTGATAATTCTGATAGTTTCACATGGCTTCACATTCTTCAAATTTTACACCCCGCAACCGCAGCAACGTTGAAGCCACCGGCCTGTCTCGGAGGTTGTTCTAGCCTTGTTCTACTTGCTTTCAGAAGTCTAAGACACATGTTTGCTGCTCACTGCTACTGCGGTGTCTGAACATAGAGTTAAATCCATGGATGAATCATCATTTTGACTATAAAAAAGTTGCCGCAGAGATGGGTAACCCACTTTAAGACAAAGTCTTTTCATGTTTTTTCTCCTTTGATTCATGGACCAGTCGGTCCATGCAATCTTTCAGGCATCCGCTGAGAGTGGGGCATCTCAGCGTAGGTCGCCATAGAGTCACTACTGGGCATTTTTTGGGTGTCCTTCCTCTTTGAAGACATCGAAAGGCAACAAAAAGTGAGTTCTTAGTTCTCATTGGTAGTGGGATGTAGTGGGCAGTTTAGGAAAACTGTCCTTCATTGGATTGCTTCATTGGTTCATTTGGTTCAAGGGAAAGTCTACGGGAAACAGGAAACCCCTATTACTGGTGGTTAAAAAACCTCAAAAGGCCATGGGTTTCCGATGTCGATTTTTCCCTCCAAAACCAATCCATTGAGTCCGCCGACCTTGGGCGACGCCGACCTTGCGACGCGATGCTAGGTCAAGTTAAAAGCCTTGACCATTGTGCAAGCCTTGGTGGATACATCCCCAGTCTCACCAGATCTCAGAAATGGGTGGGCATGAAACATCGAAGAGTGTGAGTTTATTATGGGGTTTGCCACATGGAAAAATGCAAAGTCAAGTCACAAATTGTGTGGGTTTTCAGCATTTTTCAGCCTTTTCAGCCAGACAGCCCCATGTTTTTCAGCCATTTTCAGCCAGACACGAGCTGGCCAAGTCGGGCCTTTGAGGCGAATGAGATGCTTTACAACCCCCGTGCCGTTCCCTGGCTGAGCCATGGGCATCATGGGAGCCATGGGCATCATGGGAGGATTCAGCGATCTGAAGCTATGAAATCCCAGGAACTGCACCGACACCACCAGATGGTTTTTTTTGGGGATCTTATATGGGGATATGATGGGATATATGGATTATATATGGGTGGCATTCACGAAGTAGGGAGAAGGTGTTACTCACTAGTGATCTCAGACGCATGCAAAGTTTTTCTTCAAAGCCTGTGGCTTCATCATGAGGTAGTGCAGCTATGGAGGAAGTTAAATTGATATGCTCCAAAATGTCTCTAGACCTTCATTAACTTTGCTTTTGGCAGGCGGGTTTATTTCTTTCAATACGTTGGTTCAGTGGTGAGAGCGAAGAGCATCGACTTCAGGTCCAAGAGTTTGGAGGCGTCGATGGCTTGCGCGAAGCGCTAGAGGCCTTGCTATGCCGTGGTTTGGAGGGTTACGGCTTAATGTGGGTAAAACAATAATAAACTATCCCCCAAATCACCATAAATAGGTATAAACTATTCCCAATGGGTGGTTCAATATTGTTTTACCCACATTAGGAGAGTTGAAACTCAAGACACAACAGAACACAACCACTTCGACAGCAACAGAAGTTCCAGATAGGCAGGTCAATATTTCCCCAAGTTTCAACTTGGAAAAGAGGCGCATTGTGCTCAGTGGCTGTGCTTTCAAGTTTCATAAAATATTGTATAAATAAATAAACATACGGTATATAATCAAAGGAAGTTGTGAAGCAATACTTCCGAGGTACGGACAAATAGAATTCCGAGTCTTGAAATGATGAAGGGTGGTGCGCGATTGACACTTGACCTTGAAGGGTGGTGTGCGATTGAGACTTGACCTTGAAGGGTGGTGCGCGATTGAGAAAGGGTGGTGCGCGATTGACACTTGACCTTGAAGGGTGGTGTGAAGGGTGGTGTGCGATTGAGACTTGACCTTGAAGGGTGGTGCGCGATTGAGACTTGATCTTGAAGGGTGGTGTGCGATTGAGACTTGACCTTGAAGGGTGGTGCGCGATTGAGACTTGATCTTGAAGGGTGGTGCGCGATTGAGACTTGACCTTGGCGCGCGATTGAGAGTTGACCTTGAAGGGTGGTGTGAGACTTCACATGACCTTGATGAAGGGTCGTTGCAGATCGGATTGAGACTTGACCTTGAAGGGTGCTGCGCGATTGAGACTTGATCTTGAAGGGTGGTGTGCGATTGAGACTTGACCTTGAAGGGTGGTGCGCGATTGAGACTTGACCTTGAAGGGTGGTGTGAGACTTCACATGACCTTGATGAAGGGTGCTTGCAGATCGGATTGAGACTTGACCTCTTGAAGGGTGGTGTGCGATTGAGACTTGACCTTGATGAAGGGTGGTTGCAGATCGCATTGTAATGGCTGCATGAATGTTGCATGGGCTATGTTTTGGGGAGGAAGCCGGAGCACCAAACCTTGTGTTTTTCCGTGAAAAGTGGCTGCAGCCGACGATGAAAGGTACCTCGTCTGTGCGACGGGTGCGGCTGCGGTCGTTTTGCGCGAATTGTTCCTCCTATGTGTTTTGCAACGAGTGGTTGTGTCTGTGTGCGTAGTTCTATGCGGTTCTTGAATCTCTGGTTGCAGATTGCATTGGAATGGCTGCTTCATTGTCGTCATTTGATGTTGCCACGTGCGTAGATAGGTGCGGGTTTGCCACGAGATGTTGCGAAACGCATTGTAATGGCTGCATGAATGTTGCATGGGCTATGTTTTGGGGAGGAAGCCGGAGCACCAAACCTTGTGTTTTTCCGTGTAAAGTGGCAGCAGCCGACGATGAAAGGTACCTCGTCTGTGCGACGGGTGCGGCTGCGGTCGTTTTGTGCGCGAATTGTTCCTCCTATGTGTTTTGCAACGAGTGGTTGTGTCTGTGTGCGTAGTTCTATGCGGTTCTTGAATCTCTGGTTGCAGATTGCATTGGAATGGCTGCTTCATTGTCGTCATTTGATGTTGCCACGTGCGTAGATAGGTGCGGTTTTGCCACGGGATGTTGCGAAACGCATTGTAATGGCTGCATGAATGTTGCATGGGCTATGTTTTGGGGAGGAAGCCGGAGCACCAAACCTTGTGTTTTTCCGTGTAAAGTGGCTGCAGCCGACGATGAAAGGTACCTCGTCTGTGCGACGGGTGCGGTTGCGGTCGTTTTGTCCGCGAATTGTTCCTCCTATGTGTTTTGCAACGAGTGGTTGTGTCTGTGTGCGTAGTTCTATGCGGTTCTTGAATCTCTGGTTGCAGATTGCATTGGAATGGCTGCTTCATTGTCGTTATTTGATGTTGCCACGTGCGTAGATAGGTGCGGGTTTGCCATGGGATGTTGCGAAACGCATTGTAATGGCTGCATGAATGTTGCATGGGCTATGTTTTGGGGAGGAAGCCGGAGCACCAAACCTTGTGTTTTTCCGTGTAAAGTGGCAGCAGCCGACGATGAAAGGTACCTCGTCTGTGCGACGGGTGCGGCTGCGGTCGTTTTGTGCGCGAATTGTTCCTCCTATGTGTTTTGCAACGAGTGGTTGTGTCTGTGTGCGTAGTTCCATGTGGTTCTTGAATCTCTGGTTGCAGATTGCATTGGAATGGCTGCTTCATTGTCGTCATTTGATGTTGCCACGTGCGTAGATAGGTGCGGGTTTGCCACGGGATGTTGCGAAACGCATTGTAATGGCTGCATCAATGAATGTTGCATGGGCTATGTTTTGGGGAGGACGCCGGAGCACCAAACCTTGTGTTTTTCCGTGTAAAGTGGCTGCAGCCGACGATGAAAGGTACCTCGTCTGTGCGACGGGTGCGGCTGCGGTCGTTTTGTGCGCGAATTGTTCCTCCTATGTGTTTTGCAACGAGTGGTTGTGTCTGTGTGCGTAGTTCTATGCGGTTCTTGAATCCCTGGTTGCAAATTGCATTGGAATGGCTGCTTCATTGTCGTCATTTGATGTTGCCACGTGCGTAGATAGGTGCGGGTTTGCCACGGGATGCTGCGAAACGCATTGTAATGGCTGCATGAATGTTGCATGGGCTATGTTTTGGGGAGGAAGCCGGAGCACCAAACCTTGTGTTTTTCCGTGTAAAGTGGCTGCAGCCGACGATGAAAGGTACCTCGTCTGTGCGACGGGTGCGGCTGCGGTCGGTTTGTGCGCGAATTGTTCCTCCTATGTGTTTTGCAACGAGTGGTTGTGTCTGTGTGCGTAGTTCTATGCGGTTCTTGAATCTCTGGTTGCAGATTGCATTGGCAGGCTGCTTCATTGTCGTCATTTGATGTTGCCACGTGCGTAGATAGGTGCGGGTTTGCCACGGGATGCTGCGAAGCGCATTGTAATGGCTGCATGAATGTTGCATGGGCTATGTTTTGGGGAGGAAGCCGGAGCACCAAACCTTGGGTTTTTCCGTCTAAAGTGGCTGCAGCCGACGATGAAAGGTACCTCGTCTGTGCGACGGGTGCGGCTGGGGTCGTTTCGTTCCTTCAATGTGTTTTGTAACATTGGATGTTCCTGTGTACGTAGTTCTATTCGTTTCTTGAGTTTGTGTTTGCAGATCGCATTGGAATGGCTGCATGAATCTTGCATGGTGCCGCAGCTGCATGCGTAATATTATTGTCTTTTGCAGCTGAAGATCGTAAATCGTATTGGAGTGGCTGCATCCAGGCTGCGAAGTGGATTTGTTAGCAGATTTTCTCTATTTTGGCGCTAGTGATTTTCCTTTTAAAAATCCTTTTAAAAAGTGCTACAAAATCGTCTTTTTTTCGCTTTGGCGTCGAGATCCGGTTTTGGAGCTGCAGTTTCCGATGCCGTTGCGCGTAATGCTAGTGTGTTTTGCAACTGAGTCACTGCAGATCGCATTGGAATGGCTGCGTCAAAGTTGCTTGATGCCGCGGCTGCATACGTAATACTCTTGTCTTTTGCAGCTGAAGATCGTAAATCGTATTGGAGTGGCTGCATCCAGGCTGCGAAATGGCTTTGTCAGCAGATTTTCTCCATTTTGGCGCTAGTGATTTTCCTTAGTAGAAGTACTGGGAAGTGATTCATGAAAGCTTAGATGACATATGAGAAGAGATGAGATGAGAAGAGATGAGCTGGGATAAGGTGAGAAGAGCTCAGATGAGATGAAGTGTGGAGTGTGAAGAGTGCAGTGTGAAGTGTGGAGTGTGAAGTGTGAAGTGTGGAGTGTGCAGTGGGAAGCGTGCAGTGAAGTGTGAAGTGTGGATTGGGAAGAGTGCAGTGTGAAGTGAGAAGTGTGAAGTGTTGACTGCGAAGGGTGCAGTGTGAAGTGTGAAGACTGTCAAGTGTCAAGTGTGAAGTGGAGCTTCACATGTGACATGTGAAGCAGGACACAACTTTCGCAGAGTGCACGCACGCACGGGCTTGGCTGGCGCACGGCGCATGCAAGTTCTATAGATGAGAAAGCTCTCATATATATCTTTAAGGCAACTTCCGCCCCGCCTCGTGCGGGTACTACTGGTATATATATATATATTATATCACCACGCGTAGCCGTATGTGGGCTATATCACCAATGTTCGAACAGTTGTAGACTACTATTTTGAGTCCAGTCAGCTGCACGATGCTGCAGGTGCTTCGACAAGTTCGGGGTGGAGAGTTGGGGCCTGCTATGGATGAAAACGTGCGGATGCCCATGGAAACACCGCATGTTGAGTACCCTCTGGTAAACTAACATAGCTGTTGAACATCACCATTTCTAATGGGTAAATCAACTATAAATGGGGTATTTTCAATAGCTATGTTAGTCATTACCAGAGGGTATTGAAATTGAGCGTGCATTGGATTGAGCACTGTGAACACTCACCAGACCTCATGACTATGTTTCCACCTTGTGATGCTAGCAGGTCGCGACTGACATTTTGAGCATTTGCATGTACTACTTTAATTTCTAACAGCGGGGCACGGCTGGACAGACAGACAGACCGCTTCGCTGCATGTGTGTTGTTGTGTTCTGAGCAATGGTGTTGCCTCGGCGCTGTGTTACACAGCAACAAACGATTCCTGCTGGAAGTAGGTTTGCCCTCTGGTAGGCAATGGAATATCCCATGAAATGGTTCGTTTGCAGATGATGTCCCATTGAACATTGTGATTTTTTCCGTGATTTTCCATTGCTATTTGTTGAAAAATCCATGAGTTTTTGCAAGGTCCGAATGCTGGCGACAGAGATTGAAGTGAAGTGCTTTCACGAGAAGCTGCCGCCCAGTGGCACTGGCAATGGCTGGACGTCCTTCACCAAGGTGCTACGGCCATCCCGTCCATCAATGTCTCATGATTTCACCAAGAAAGTGAAGAGATGGAACCACTGTGTTGGTCAGCTTCAAGGGTTGAAGTTATAATATGATATATGTGTATATATATATAAATGATATATGATACCCTTTGGTAGTTTAACGGAATACATCATTATAGCTATTGAAAATGACAATTTCTAAGTGATTTACCGTACCTTTTTTAGCAATTGGGATGTTCAATGATTTTTACCAGGTCAGACTGTTGGAATCAAAAACAGTGCAGGCCATGAGCTCCGACTTTGAGAAGGCCTGGCTGGGGCCGAGCAAGGACCACGACTGGACCATGTTCTGAAGAACAGGACTGGCTGGTGGCTTGAATTAATGTATTTGTTTTATTTTGTCATAGATTCATACATGTATAATATATATAATATTATACTGTATCATGTAATAAATAATATGTTATTAAAGCGATTTAATGCGTAGTTATAGACAGTTATAGTCCATCCTACCTGGGATAATTGGGGATAGTGATTCATTTGAGCCATATTCAAACCAGATTTCAAACCACCAATGGCTTTTTCAAGCCTGACAAGTCAAGCTGATGAATCGTGTCAATTTCCATGGAAATATTCACCAGCCATTTGACCCTGCAGGCTCGTAAGGTGGCGAAAAAGAACTTCCAGCATTTCTCGCAGAAAGCTGCGGGCCACCCAGGCTATCCCAGGCTTGTGACACAGCACAAACAGTACTGCTGTGCTGCTTCTTCAGTGACTTTAAACGCCTTAAAAGTGCTGGGTGTTTTTTTCCCGGAAGTTTCTCAGATGAACTATGATGAACTGTGATGAACTATTCGTGTAGAAAGGCAGCCAGCACCGAGGAGAAACACATGGAAAAAGCTGAACGTGTCTTTGAAAGGGGGGCGACCAAGTTTATGCAGGAGGCACTGGGACATGTTCGTACAGCGGTAGCGGCTGTGCAAATGATGATGCTTAATTTATTCATATTTATTCAGAAATGTTGCATTGCAGTTTTTCCATTTTTGGTCAATCAGTACACTTTGGTTTGTCATTCATCCAGTTTGGTTTCCCTTGTTCAATTTCAGACACGTTATGACACCAGGCGGAAAATCTGCTGGTGGGTCCTGGAACTTCGGCTGATGATGGAGCCTCCAGAGGCTGGTGTGGAGAGGCTTTCTTGATGTTTCTTGAAGCTTCAATGTTCGCAGGGACGAGTCATGACAAATCACTATACTCCAATCATAATATATTCCAGCGTTTTTTGGACCTTATTACGCTTGCCGACTTGCTTGTCGCCTCGAAAATCTCGAATGACCGCAAAAACGTTCACAGGTCAAAGGCCTTCGCTAACTCAGGCCGGTTCAAAATTTATTCGCGTATTTTTGCATCTTCTGGTTTGCCAGTTCTTGACTGATTCAGTTTGAGGATCTTGGTAGTCCCTCACGCCACCAAAGCACATGTAGGTCTGAGGTTTCGCTTGGCCTGGCCCCTAATTATCCACTAAGTCACTAATCACCGGCTGCCCGCAGCTGGCTGGAGCTGGTGGTCAACCATGATGCAACCTCTCAAGAGCTCTGGTGAGATCCCCTGAGATTCACGGCTGGGCAGGAAGAGGAGGAATTGCAGTGGGCCCTACGTGCCTCATTGGAGGAAGCTCAAAGGTGCCATCCACAATTTCTGCATGTCATTCGTCGACTTTCCCGGTCCATCGTCACACCTAATGCTGCAGGTCCAGAAGGAATGAGAGCGAAGGCCGTGCTCGCCACTCGCCAATTCTTGCTCAGCATTTTTTGATATTTTTTGAATCCCGTAGGTAGAAAATACGTAAATTCCTCGCTTAAACTTAAAATAGTGACATGGATATGAAATGATATGAATTTATAATCTATATGCCCTACTTTCTCTCTTGCTTGGAGTTGCTATAGATTAGGCCTCAGCTTCCGGCCAATTCTGACAGCTTCTAGGAAAGCGAGAGGCCCGAACAGATCAAACAGATACCAAGATTGAGGCCTTGCCTTGCTGTTCGTGAAGCTGCTTGATCATGGATGGGGGATGTAGGAATTGTAGGAGGCTCTCCAAAGAATCGCAGTCCTCATTTTATTGACGGACCTCCCCTTCCAAAAAAATGGTACAGGTACAGTGTGGTGGTTGGATGTTTTTGGGATGTTGTGCGGTACAACTGTCCGGGAGGGAGCTG